GAATTATATTCTACAATAATAAAATAAAATATTCATTCACTTGAGAAAAGACCAAATCACCCTTAATGAATATTCTGATTCACCATAAAACCAAGCCATTTGATATTACAAAGTCAAATATAATTTATTTTGTCTTTGACTTCCGAAATTCACCTTGAATTTTCAAATCTTGCGTTTTAGTCACTAAATCTCACAGTTTCGATTTAATCTGAAAAATTGCACAATTTCAAACCAAATTTCTCTGATCCAAAATATTACAATAATATTTCCAACCATTATATAACATCCTTCAAATTTTTGTAAAATTCTGATTCGATCAGAATTTACCGATTCCTTACCGGCTTTAACTCTTTCTTTACTAAATTTCAAATCCAACAATATGATTTCCATAAAACTCTAATCTCAAGAGTAAACCATATATTTATGGAATAAAAATCTTTTTAAGAAATTTATCACTTAATTCCCTAAACTTTTCCCAAGTTTTATACTTTGACCATCAAACTTTTAAAATTTTCATTTTAGTCATTGTCTAAATTTTTTGGGGTATTACACGATCCCAATTTTTTTTAAAAAAAATCCGACACGAATACCAAAAAATTGATGAAGGTAGTATGGTCAAATTTCACATTCCCTCCTCCAAATGATTCTAATTTCATCATGTTATAAATGGAATTTACTTTCCCTCCCTTGAAGGAATTGAATTTCAGTTCCCCCTTTGAAAACTTAAACCAAACATGGGAAAGTGGTGGAATTGGATTCCATTAATTTTTTTAACGACGGTGAACGTAACGTTAAATTATAATTTTAAAAAACAAATGGTTTGATGACTAAAACAAAATCACGAGAATAATTGAATCATTAGATACATAATTTATCCTTAAAAAATTAAAATACACACAACATAATATATAATAAATATATTAAAAATATTTTATAATACTATAACACTTTAAAGAGAATTAAAAAAATATTTTTAAAAAAATTCTCCTCTTCCCACGGATCGTCCCGCCTCCCACCCCAGGAAATTTGCTGTAAATTCCCTTCGCCCCCTCCTAGTGAGTGGAATTGTTGGGATTAAATCTAAGCTAAAACCCCTCTTTAAAATTCAGGGTTAATGATTTAGAGATTTATATATTTAGGGGTTTGGAATGACAATAAAGGTGATGGTCAGTTAGAGAGTAGGTGACGACAGAGTTAATGGCAGGAGTTGGTCGAAGATGGCTGAAAACAGTGTGTAAAATTATGAATTTTAGGTTTTGGCGGTTTTTAATTTTAAAGAAATTTAGGTATTTTTAATTTTAAAGACATTCAAGGCCGCCTTTCCTCTGAGATTGAGGAAGGAATAGATTTCCTCAATTTCTGCTATCGTATCTAAAGTATGCTTAATACAAATATCTAAAGTATGCTTAATAAAAAAAATAAAAAATATATATATATATATATATATATATATATAAAAACCATAAATTTTATCCTCTTTAGGTGTTTATTTTTTTCTAAGTGAATATTGATATACAATGTTATAAACGTTATCATTTTAAGTATTTCGATCGTAATAATCACACAAAATTTATCGATCATGTGTATTTTATTCTCTAATAATAATTTTGGTTATTTTATTTTAATATTATTATAAAATAACAAAAAATTATATTATAAAATATTTATATTATATGTTGACTCTTGACACCAGATCAATTAAAAACTTAATATATAATATAGATATAGACGTGAGTATGTGAAGTAGAGGGAAAAAGGGTGATTAATATGTGCACAAGATAGTGTCGGATTTGTGCATGCATTTAAAATAATAATGAAATCATACGTAATTCATAAACAACCTAATTATGAATGTAAAATATGTATGTTTGCATGTATTTGACGTGAAAAAAAATATTTGATACATTTCAACAACAAATTTAATAAAAAATATAATATATATATATTCTCATTTCTTACGATTAATCTAAATAGTCTATTTTTAATCATCCAACGGTCATAAGTGTGTGTAAAATTAAAAAGTTTTACACTGTGTAATTGGATCATATCACCGGTTGCGGATGTAAGAGGAACTTAGTGCCCATCCTAAAATTCGAATTTCTTTATTTTAGTTATTCATTTTACTAATGATACCTATCTTGAAATTTTATTTATGTCTACCCTCATATGGATTTTTTTTTGTTATTAATATATATGCTTCTACCCTAAAATTATTTATGAATATATATCGTTAAATGATGAGTACAGGTTTTTTCATCGAAACATTGTCAAATCTTTCTCATGTACCATTGAAAGTTAATTTTGGATTCTTTAAGAACTATACATACACGCACATGTGACATTGCACACCAACAACACAATAACGCTATTTACGTTATTGTCCAACTTTCATGAATATGGGGGTATATGCAGATAGTTAAAATTTTACATCTCTCTTTTCATTTCTGTTTTAATTTGCAGAAATAAAAGCAAATGTCTTACGACACGAGAGTGCAGATGGATCACCAGGAATACCAGCGAGCTGCTCGTGCGGCGGCAGACTACAACTCGCAGATGCCTTTCGCGTTCCGAGTGCAGCCGATGCAACCAAACTTACAAGAGAGGATGTAATGGAAGATTGCGAGGGAGTTGAGGACTGCTGCAGTTATCTTATAGCTAAAGTTGCCTATACAAGCTTAGGCTCGGAGCCTGAAATTCTCTAGCATGGAGGGGGTTTACGAAGAATAATAGCTTTCTAGTTTATGAATATTTCAGTGTTTGTCACAATCTTAGTACTATATATATATATATATATATATCGAATGGGAACTCGATGATCTTTATGAACAATCACTTGTCTACTTTGAGACAACTATATACGTGTCTCGATGAATTTAAGTATGTGTGCTATCAATATTAGTTTTGTTTAATGATATTTTTGGCTTTTGAACTTTTAAATATAATTTTCATTATCCGTTTTCTTTTTACCTTTGAATTTATATTTTTATTAAATTAAAGGGTAAAGTACATAAATGGTCTCCTAATTATAGGACATTGCTCTATTGAGTTCCTCGATTATTAAAAATTACAAAATGATCACTAACTATTCATATATTCCAAAATCATCATTTTCCGTTAAAAATTTGACGTTCTTCTTAGCTGAACATTAACCTGGTGATTGAGATGTGATAAAATCTCATCCCATAATTGTTTGAACCATTATAGTCGTTTAAGATTCTGTGATCAGATTTTATCATGTCTCAATCAACAAGTTAATATCTAACTCAAACACCCATCAATTTTTTAATGGAAAAGGACGAGTTTGAAATATATGAATAGTCGGGTGATCATTTTATAACTTTAATAGTTGGTGACTCAATAAAGTAATAATCTATAGTTGATGGACCATTTTATAACTTTTAATAGTTGGTGACTCAATAAAACATCACCTTCAAATAACCATTTATGTACTTTATCATAAATTAAATTAATTAACCAAAAATAACGGATTTATAATAATTTGCAACTTTTTTAATAAATTTTATACTTTTTATATATAGTTTTTACATTTTTATAAATATATTTGTATAATTAACGGATTAAGTTAAACTCCCAGTCACCTTGAATCCTCTCAACCCCTCAACCATTTACTATATCAGTGTTTGATTATTCTTGCATATTCATGGTGTATTTGTATGAGATATTATTGCTTTTTTTTTTCTGGGATAGTGTTGTGTACTTCATTCTCCTTAATTTGTTGTTCAATGAACGGACTTGCAGAATCTTTTTATTGCAAAGAGAAGAAATGCTTGCAAAATATCCCCCAAAATTAATATAGCTTATTCCATGTAGCAGACTCTATAGATATGGAGAGAACTTCAAGAAATAGGAACTGAAATTGTACCCCTCGCAAAGAGCCTCTCAAACATATGAAGCACATCTTATCGTGAAAAAGTGAGTGAGCAAACACGTACTACTGCTGCTGTAATTTGTTTCAAGAACTTCATTGCTAGTAATGAATCTTTGTGATGTTTTTTCTTCAAACTTTCAGATTGACCGTTCTGGTGTTGCTGTCGGAGAGGAGAAACATGAGGGAAACATTCATGAATTAGCTTGTAGTCTGCATTTGCATGCTTGTATCAGCATAATACATTACTCTAACTGCAAATTTCAGTTATAGGTGCATTTAACCATATGGGACATTTTGCATAAAAAATGAAATAACGTGTTAGGTAGTTTTGTGTTGGGGGGATTCTAAAAAAAGAATCTTAATTCTTAAGGTGAAAATAAGGTAAGATACTTGAACGGTTACCAAAATAGGATCTCCGCATGAGGACTGTGTGGTGTATGAGAGATTGAATGTCCCGAGGAACCTCTACGATGATGTTGCTGATGAAAATCATAGTGGAAACTGTGAAACATTTACTGACCTGGGAGAAAATTCAAACTGTAGCATTGACCAGGGGCCTCAATTGCAACGACAGAGCGAAAACCAACACAATTATAAAATTTGAGGATGTGTTGTTCAACGATAGTAGTCTTAATTTGTAATATTTTTTAATATTTTTTTATTGTCCTTTCAATTTCGAGATTTTCTTTTAAACATTTTTAATATTTTAATTAACTATCGAATAGTAAATAAAATACTAACCTTTATACTTTCTACACCACACATTTACTAATATTCTAATCCATACTCCAAAGTATTTTCATATCAACACATTTTTTTCATTTTTCATTGCCTTGTTTTCTCTCTCATATTCCTTTCCCCCAAACAGGTTTATTAAAAAAAATCCATTTTTTTAATAAAATAAAAAAATAATAAAACGACTTTTTTTTCATCCTTTCTTCAACGGCCTGGTTTATCTTCTCTCTAACAAAGTATGATGCTTTTCTTCACTTCTGTTTTGTTAAATTTATTTTTTCTTCGTGGTTAATTATTTCAATGTTTTATCCCTTTTTTAATTATGTTTTCCCCCCTATATGCATTAGTGTTTAGATTCTGAGATGAAGGGTTTTTGGATTGTGCAGAGAAAAGGGATTCTAGGGTTTTCTCCGGGGTTCTTCTCAGAGAGAACTTTGACAAGGTATGTTTTCATTTATTTATTTTATTAAGGTTTTATGGGAAACGATGTGATTTTAGGGAGATAGGGATTCGTTGGCGGTGAATTTGAGGGTGCATTGTATTAGTGAATGGGATAAGCTTGATTTTGATGATTGGGTCAATTTTCTTTTTTCCTTTTTTTTCCACTTCTTATCTAGGTTTGGAGTAATGAGTTTGCTGCATTGTTGATAATTTGTTTGGAAACAACTGGATCGGGTTCGTTTGGGAAGATGACTTTGGTTAACGAACCTTCGCTTGAAGTTGCTGCTGCGGAGCAACATTGCTGCCCCGAGTCAATGGAGAAACTTGTCTCTGAGCAACGGGACTGTGTTGTGATTGATTCTAATGGGGATTGTGCTGCTGAACCGGGTGAAGATGAAAACACTGGTTGCAGAAGCTCTGGTGATATTGATTGCAGAGTTGGAATAAAGTGTGAGGTCCAATTAGTTGGTTCGGGTATGAAGGAATTGATGGGTGGTGAATGTTGTGAAAACTCAGTCAGTTTGAAGAAAAATGGGGGTGGAAAAGCTGATGCCTTTTGTTCCAAAGAATTGATGAGTTATATGTGCAGTGATAGTTTGGTTTGTGTGGGAAATAATCAGGGTGAGCTTATGGGTGATTCTGGTTTGAAGGAATTGATGGGCAACAGAACTGGTGATACTGTGGTTTGTTTGGAAGATAAGGGCGAAAGTGTGAATGATTCAGATTACTCAATTGAAAATCAAGATGAGAAAGCGGATGCTTCTTTTCCAAAGGAGTTGAGGGGTGATACATACGGTGATAGTACAGTTTGTTCCAATGGAAATCAGAGTGAGAATTTAGATGGTGCTGGATCAAAGGAATTGATTGGTGATATTTATGGTGATACTGTGGTTTGTTTAAATGCTAATCAAGGTGAAAATCTAGATCGTTCTGGGCCAGAGAAATTAACGGGTTATTTGAATGAAATTCAGTATGGTTCAAATGAACTTAAGGGTGATAGGATTGGTGATCATGGGGTTTGTTTGAATGAAAATGTGGGGAACATTGATGTTCATGATTCAAAAACTGATGTGTGCTTGGAAAAAAGTGGATCTTCTGGAGTGGATTGTACAACTGCTATGGATGGATCGTCGGGCTTGTCTCAGGATGAGAACACTGCTTCTTTAAGCTGTGGCAATGATGAGCATATGGTTGGCTTGATGTTAGAAGAAGGTATGGGCAATAAACAAGGTGGGGTTTGTTTGACTGATAATCAGGGTATAGTTGATTATCATGACTCAGTAAATGATGTTTCAGGAGGCGGCAAAATGCCATCAGAACTGAACACTGTGTCTGCTTCACCTAGAAATTCCATTATACAGGATTATCAGAAGGATGATGAGAAGGTTAATGGTTCCATTCTGCAGGGGACTGTGGAATATAGGGAAGATAAGTGTGAAGAGAAAATTGATGCGGTAAAGAGTCAAGGGACTGATGTTCTGAACCAAATATTGCCTTCACGGAAGTTTGAAGTGCCCTTTGACTTAATGGATGCAACTAGTGAACAGAGGAGTAACGATGATACAAGTACCTATTGTTCCTCTTTGGAAGTAGCCATGGAAGAAAAACGAGAGATATTAACTGAGATTGAGACTAATATTTGCAACCAAATGCCATCTATTCAGGATAGTAACTTGGTTCCATTATCAATAGCCATTAGTGGTTGCAGGAGTGATTGTCCTGAACAAAATAACCTGAAGGATAGTAACACTATCACTGGTCCTTCTATTGATGGGGAAAGTGGTGCTTCACCCATTATAGAATCTGATTTGTGCAGCAAGATATCGTCTTCATGTTGTGCTGAGACAATTTCCAACTTACAACGAACAGGTGATTCATTGGGTAGTTATAACTGGCATAACCGGAAAGATCTGAGTAGCAGTGATATCTCATTGGTAAGTTCTACCAAACCAATGGAAATTAGAAGTAATGATGATTTATGCATTGAGTTGTTGGCTTCAAGCATATCATTGGACACACAGCAGAATGAACAAACTGATTGTGAGAATGTTAATAGTCCATCAGGAGATGGCGTTGCAGAGGTTTATGAGGGGACTGATGTCCCTGCGGCTACAAAGGTTGAGACATCCAGTGAAACAATTAATGCTAAAGGAAAGGTCTGCAACTCGAGCAGGAGTTCTTTTGAGCTAGGTGCAAACTGTCTTTCTGATAAATCAATTTCTTTGTCATGTCAACCCATTGAAGTTGGTGAAAATGGCTTGGCTGGGAGGTTGGATACACCACATCTTTTGACAAAGGAGGCTTGTGCTGCAATTAGTTCTAGCAGTTCAATTGACTGTTTTGGAAAAAGGGAAAATGAAAGAAAGGATATTAATAAGGTTGATTGTGTTTCAGAAACTAAAAATTGTCCAACTACATCTTCCTCTTCTCGAAGGAGAAAACAGAAAAGTAAATCAAGCCGAAAGGCTCCTGCAAAAAGGGGTGCTAGGAACTGCAGTAGCAAAAAGCTGCGGCTTCCACATGAAAGTATTGAATTCCATGTCAAAGCTTCAAGAAGGAAGAGAAGCTGCTTGTCAAAACCAGCTCGTTCTTCCATTTGGGGATTGTTCAATAATATTACAAAATTTCTTGAGCCATGTCCTGATCTTTTGTGTAATGAAGTGCAGAACCAAGAACCTTCCAAAGGTAGGGGTAGCAGGAAACAAAACAAAAACCGGGCTGGTCAAAAAAGAAGAGATCAAAGTGGGCTAAGTAACCCTTCAACCAGTTGCTTACGTCTGAAGATTAAAGTGGGCAAGGAAGTTGCTCCAAGTAATCTGAATACTTTGGTTGCAGAAGTGCTTAATCCGTCAGTTTCTGTTGGTGCTTTTAGTAATTATGGTAAGGAAAATGTTGTTGAAGATAAAGCAGGAGAACCGGATAGTGAAATGCAGTTTCATTCCAAGGAAGACCAGGAAATGGTGAAAACATGCTCAGGTGCTTTTATTACGGAAATAAAACTAGCAAATAAGGTTATGGGGAGTGCTGAAAAATGTTGAGAAGTTTGCTGAATATGCTGTAGATATTTCTCTTCTAAATCAGTTTGATCCAGTCAGTGAAGCATCTCAAGAAGCAATAGAGAACAAGTGCATGGATCCTGGAACTTCACCAGATTCAGAAGTGATCAATACGATTCCTGATTTACAAGTTGGTTTAATACACCAAGAAGAGTCGCATGATATGGCTTTGAATGCTTCTGGAGCTGTTGCTTCTCATGGAGGTGTTAAGACTAGTAAGGGTAGCAAGAGGGGAAAGAAAAAGGACAATCATAGATCTCCTGGTGCAGTCAGCATCAGGAAAGCTAAATCATCAAAGAGTCGCCGAGGTGGGCAAAAAACAATAGATAATGGATTTGTCTCCTGTGAGGCTGTTACTTCATCCTCTGCTGCAAATGCTTCAAGAGAGAATGGGCTTGGAGTCCCCAAAGACGTTACAGAAAGTATGGATAAAGGTTGTTTCAGTCCTGATGTTCCAGATGCAAAGAACCCTAAGCATATCTCTTCCTCTAATCACAAGCGTAATCAAATTCCCAAAAGTTCAAAATCTCAGGGAATGAGCAAGGGAAAGTCCAGAATCTCTGATTCTGCAAGGAGCAGGAAAGGAAGTGCTTCTAAGAGGAGGGAAGATGAGTCGAAGTCAGTTAGTAAGAGCGAAGTAAAGGAGAAAGGTTATGATGAAGAGATTGTAACCAGAGGAGGAAAGAGCCTAGTAACAGGTACTGGAACTTTAAGGATATATGTACCTATTTCTTCCCCTGTTCTCTGTTCTTATCCTGTTATTATTATTATATGTTATTTGTTATTATTATTAATCTATTCTTCAATTTTCACATATCAGTTGTCATTCTTATTCCGTGCCATTGGGATAAATTGATTCATGATAGAAGTTGGAGAATGTTTTAATTATTTTTGCAATAGTTGGTGCTGCAGGAAATCAGATTTCAGATGATAATAAGGACTCAAATACTGGCAACAATATTGTACATGCAGACGTGTTTAATGTTGACTTGGTACAAAAATTGTGTCATGCAGCAGTGTACACTGCTTGATAATGCTTGGGTGCGTTGTGATGATTGTCATAAATGGCGGCGAATACCAGTTTCACTTGTAAAGTCAATTGATGAGGCATGCCGTTGGTATTTATCATTTCATACATTTATCATCTTAGAATGCAATTTATGTGAATTATTTATATTAAATGCTGGTTTTTCCAAGTTTGTTTGGTTAGCTCTTAAATGTTTGAAAATAGTCAACTGCATGTCCAAACACATAATACATATTTGATACAGCCATTCAGGAAGGATTGGGTGTTTAGTTATTATCCACATATCTTATGAACTGCAACGATCAGAAGTGTGGTTTACCTATGGATCCTGCGAATTTTGATTAGTTGATTTTTACTTTTCTCAGCCTAGTTCTGGTATGATGGTATTGATGCAATTTGGTCTGGAATCTTGATTCCATCCTGGTTCTGAGTAGGTTTTGGAGGCTGTTTTGTTCCCAAGTTTAGTGAATTTATGGACATGACTGGCCATCTTATTTTCTTTCACAGAAGATTCTAGGTTCTAACTGTTGAATATTACTGCCAGAACTCTTAAGTCACATTTTAATTGAGCTAAATCAGGATGATTTTGAAATTTATGGTTGATGCATTGTTATTTATTATTAGTTTTTCTAAAAGTAAAATGAAATATGAGAACCATATCACCATTCATGGCTTTGGAGTGTTGGACCCTATGCAGTCAGGTTTTATTTTGAACTACTTTTCTATTGAAGCAATTGCCCTCTCACTGGATTTTTTCACTTCCTTTAAAACTTTTCATGGTGGAAGCTGTATGAGTAGAAGTTTCAGGTGATCTGCATCATGCTTATTGTTTGGAGTTGGAAGTTCGGATGGTTTTAGCTGACAAGACGAATTAATGTGGTGGAAAGGCGGCTATGTGCGTGTTTTTTTTGTATTCTTATCATGAGAAAGCTAAGTGGCTTTTGAGTTAGAAGTTGGCTTCTATGGTTTTAGTCAGCTGTTACCCTTGGCTTTTATTATGGTTGTTTTGTTTTGTTTGGGCGTCTATCGGGCCACGTTTAGGCTTTGAGTTGACCAGTCTGTTTTTAGGCTGTTGTTGTTGCTTTGTTCGATTAGGCTGTTCTGGTAGGATTGTTTGATGTTTGTTTTTGGTGTTGTTTTGCAATCTTCATCAACCATGGCCTCTTACTATCTGATCAAATGGTCTCTTCTGGTTGAGATATATTGTATAATATGTTCCCCATTTTAAGTGTGTTCTCATTTTGTATCTTTTTGTAAGCTTAGACAGTCTGATCCCTAATATTAATTCTGTTTTCTCATTTACTTGGAAGGGTCTGTGGCGACAACGTGGATAAAGCATTTTCTGATTGCTCAATCCCACAAGAGAAGTCCAATGCTGATATTAATGCTGAGTTGGGCATATCAGATGCTGAGGAAGATGGTTGTGATGGCTTCAATTATAAGGAATTGGAAAAGGGAATTGAAGCTAAATGTATGACAGGTATGATGTTTGTTATTTATAGCTAAACTGCATGAATGAATTGTAGACAGAGATGTAGTTTTAGTGTAATGACCGTCTTTTTGCTCTCTTTTCTCCTTTTTGATCTTCCTTCCATACTCACTTTCCAATTTATTGCAGTAGCGCCGCCTTCACATTTTTGGCGTATTGATAGTAACCAATTTTTGCACCGTGGCCAAAAAACGCAAACCCTTGATGAGGTTTAATTCTGAATCTCACTTGATTTCATTATATGTTTACATGCTATTTAGTCTGCAGTTGGAATTTCATCTTCTTACCATACTCATTCCATCTTGTTGTAATGGTAATAATGACTAGAGGCTCTATAAGTTTATCTGGGAGTGGAAGCTTATTAATCTTTTCAGATCTTGTAAACCTTGTTTATTTCCACCTTTTCCTTCCTATAGATTTTATGCTGACATGATGAATCATATGATTTTTTTTAATATTGAAACTACATTAGAATTATCATGAGTTCACTGTGTCAGCATATGTATTCCTGATAGGTGGAATTTTCTATTGCTTCTTCTTACTGTAGGGGTAGGGGGTTGTGTTGGGAAGTCTTTCCATTGTTTCAACTACCTTGGCACCTTCTTCAGTTATTCTTGTTTAATTTCTAGGGCTCTAGGTCTAGACTACAAATAAAGTTAGAGTTTTTGACTTACTTAATGCCCTCTCCTAATTCCTTATTGAAGGTAAAATTTGATCCCATGTCTTGGATAATACACTTTATAAGTTAAACTGGCTGATTCCTCTATTTCCTTGCTTTAATTTTCTCATTGTATCACAAATATTAGCATATAATACACACTTTAGTTGAACCGGAGAAAAGCGGAATTTAAATTAATTTTTTTACATCTGATTTCATTGGCAGGTTGATAGCTTTTGTGATTATTTTTTTTGATAGGAATAGAAGGCCTCAATAAAACCCCCTTTGTGATTAACGGAACTTAAAAATAGCTCCTTAATCCGCACAAGGAGGAAAAGAGTGCCCTAGGATTTCATTAAACTCAAATATAACAAAGTAATACAAACTAATCTCCCTCAAGAGATACAAAACCAGAAAGAAACAGCCCTTAACAGAACATAATTCAACCAATACCAGCCTTAGCTAGGACATCTGCCTCTATATTGGCTGTCCTACTACCAACTAATAAAACCTTCATAAACACTAAGCTTTTGAATAATGTCTTTAACAATTTGAACATAAACAACAGGACAAGAGACCACATCCTTAACCCAGCCAACTGCCACCTTACTATCACTCTCAATAATCAATCTATCTTTAAACCTATGACAAATAGATTCATAAAAATCTAAACCCTTTAGGATAGCCTTCAATTCCATTAAAGTTGGGGGCCCCGGACCAGCAGGCTCTTTGAAGGAGCCAAGAATCGAACCAGACATGTCTTTCCCATTATTAATATTTCAGTTATTTTAAGCAGGTAATGGTTTGCCAGTGCGAAAGACCTCCAGACGGGAAGCTTGGTTGTGGGGATGAATGCCTAAATCGGATGCTGAACATTGAATGTGTCCAAGGCACCTGTCCTTGTGGGGACCTCTGTTCAAATCAACAGGTTCTTCACTGTTTTTAGTACATGACAACGTACAATATATATGCAGTTTATATTCTGTTGTGTGTTTGTTTCCAACTTCTAAGAGGACTTTTTTTGAAGATAATGTTATTTTATTCCAAATGTTTATTTTTGCAGTTCCAGAAGCACAAATATGCAAAGATGAAGTGGGACAGATTTGGTAAGAAGGGTTTTGGATTGAGGATGCTAGAAAATATATCTGCTGGACATTTCCTTATTGAATATGTTGGAGAGGTAATATATGATTTGTTTTCTTGTACTTTATGCTTTTTGAGATTATGATAGACTTGTTGAGATTATAGTGGAATTCATGTTATGGCTCTTTAGATTTGATTTTTATAATTGTTTAAGTAAATGTGATTTTAAAGTAAACCAGTCATAATAAACACTGTTGTTGAGGCTTCCACCCCACTAAACTTTTCAGGTAAAAGCACCTAATGTATTGTCAAATAAATTTGCTGAATCAGTATGCTTAAAGCATTGTTCTGCCGTGTCATGGATTAACATTATTTAGTTTATTTAATTCGTGTGATATAATCTAAGGAAATAAACTGTATAAGAGGAAAAGAGTAAAAGAGGTGATGAAAGAGAATTTTGATTATTTAATTTAGGAGATTACAGTAGTTTAAATAAACTGAGTTGCTAACTTGTAATAGGACTTTTCTGCTGAAGATAAAATTCTATCTAGAGATAAAGATTGCAAAGACTCCTACGACTTATCCTTTCTTATCATAAAAGGAACCTAAACAAACAAGACTTCTAGATGGCTGATTCTAACAGCATGCACTGCACTGCACTGCACTGTCTGAAGCAGTAAAGTTTGTTTCTTTTGAACATTCTTCAATTGAAATTAAGCATTCATATCTTAGAGGAAGGATAGAGTGGGGTGTATCTAGTTCTTATTAGGATCCCTTGTTCAAGTCATATCTTATCATGTTGACTGTTTGCTTTTGTGCAAGCCATTTTCCAAATCCAAATAGCAAGTTAACTGATTCCTGTCATACTCATCTGAAAGTTTGTCAAAGTTTTTATGCATTCAAAGGCGGCATTTGTTGTCATACAAAAAAGAAAACTCATACTTGTTGTAGGCTAGTTGTTGTGTAATCCATAATTACTGTAGAGTGGGGCTATATATTATGCTGATTGTATATTTGTGGACACTTTATTTATATATGTGTAACTATTGGTGGTATTTGAATTGTTTGGTTCATCAGGTGCTTGATATGCAAGCTTATGAGGCTCGGCAAAAGGAGTATGCTTCTAGGGGTCAGAGGCATTTCTATTTCATGACATTGAATGGCAGTGAGGTTTGGATAATATCCTTTACCATTCATATTTTACAAAAGTTATGACTATTAAATAGAATATAGCACAGATAGTGCAAAAGGCTGCAGCAATTGAAGAAAGTTTAGCTGTCTCCTGCCTGTCTTTGGTTTTGTTATTTAATTATTAAATGCTACTACATGTTTGTGGACATATCTAGAAACATAAGTTTATGACTTATTTACATAGTAGATTTTATTTATTGTTTATGTTGAATGTTTTAATCACTGAAATTACTCTGGGGAAACAGAGGATGCTTCCTTGCTGCTTTAGCTTTGCCTTTTCAATTCAAACTTTATTTGCTTTTGCATCCCCTTGTTTGTTCATATTTGTAATTATCCATCTGTCCTGAATAATGTTTTCATTTAGTTTTCTCAGTTTCTTTTTTTTATCAATGAAATCTATCATGTTTTATATTTTTTCTGTCAATTTATTACTTTGATTGTTCAGTTTCAAGGGTAATTTTCCTTTCTTCCAGGTAATAGATGCATATGTCAAAGGAAATTTGGGGCGCTTCATCAACCATAGCTGTGATCCCAATTGTCGTACTGAAAAGGTGAATTTTCCATTGAGTTTTTTGTTATCATATTGGTTAATAAGAAAACATGATTTCTTTTCCAATAGAACTAAATTAAGTAGGATTCTCTTAATGTGTGTGTTACCGTAATTAGGATAAGAGCTGAATGATAGAATCTCTTGGTGGAATGTCTCCTTTCCACCTCAATGTTGTCAAGGGCTCAAGGCGCACTCTAGGTGCTTAAGCCCTTATATTGGATGAAGTGCAAGATGCAAAAAAAGCGCTAGCCTAAGTGAAGTGAAGCACAATATGTATATGTGTGATTTTTTGTGTGTATATGTAAAATCTTAAGATATATAATAAACTCTAAAGTGGAGTCTAGTTTTCCTACAAAACATATAAAAAAAGTATCGGTCAATATGCATCATATTTGTTATTAATAATGTATATGTATGTTAACTATTTGTCTGATACAGCCAACTACCTTGGGTTTGCCTGCATATGTCGTTTGATCAATCATAGTTTGATGTTTTTCTTGTTTATGTTTCCTGAGTATAAATATGGCTAACGTTGTTTCCATTGTTTTTGTCTTTCTCATGAGCAGTGGATGGTGAATGGTGAAATTTGTATTGGACTAATTGCATTGAGAGATATAAAGAAGGTGAGTTCGCGGAGTATGATGTTTATGCCAATCATACCTGTTATATGGGGTTCTTGCAATTACTCTTCTTTTTTCTGGTTTGGTTCTTACATACAACTCGAATATCATTAAACTGATCTGCTCAATTCCTTTTAAATTGAGATAGTTGAGACTTTAAGCTCTCCTAGTCCAAGTTGCTTTCTCGAGTCTTAGAAAGTATGAACTTTTTTATTTTGCCAAACAGAAACCCCAAAAATGTAATTTTGTTCAGCCTGCTTCCTGAGGCCTCTGCAAACCCTGTTAATAGATTTGTGCCATATATTAGCTGGTTATCCTTTTATTGAGATTTATGATTAGTTCATGCTGCAGTATTCAGTGGAGAGGGGACGGGATGCTGGGGGATCCTACACTTGCTGATAAGCATTATACTAGTGAACCGAAAAGGAAGAAGGTTCAGGGCTGGCTTCCTCCTCTTCATTTCTTTGAAGTCAACGTTGATGGGGCAGTTAGAGGGGACGGGATGCTGGGGGGAATTGGGGGTATTTTAAGAGACTCAGAAAGTAAAATTCTTGGTTCTTTCTCGCACGCTGTTGGCCCGGGTCTTCCTCCACTCGTAGAGTTGAAAGCCATTGAGAAAGGAATTGATTTTTCTCTCTCGTCAGAATGGGCGATGAAAGGAAGGTTAATTATAGAAAGTGATTGTAAATCAGTGGTGGATTGGATCTTGCTGTCGACATCTTCTCCTCGTTTTGTTAGTTCGTTGGTTCAGAAAATTGTTTCCTTAATTTTGGACAGGGAGATCATTGTTAGACATATTCCGAGGAGTTGTAATTGTGAGGCTGACACCTTAGCTAAGCAGGGGATTGGATAAATATTTTAAATAGCCTTAGAGATTTTTTAGTAGTGTTGTTGGTTTATTGAGATAGTTGGGGCTGTGATAGTTTCGTTGTTGGGTATGGGAGGGCTGGTCGTATAGGGGAATTTGTTTTTTTTTGTTCTGCTATTTTTAAGGTTTTGTTTGCTTGTCTTATGGTTGTATCTTATGTACTTTGGTTATGATCAATAAAATCATAAGGCACTCTTTTTCTTCTTCCGCTGATTAAAGAGCTTCTCTAAAAGATCCTTTAATCAAGAAGGGGGTTTTTAACGAGGCCTGTAATTCTTATAAAAAAAAAGTATTCAGTGGGGAGCAGAACACAAAGATTAATGCTAAAATGCCTATTCTAGAGGCACATACTCATATAGCTAGATAGATAATAAGTTGATCGATATACGTCAGAGTAGCCATGCATCATTTCTTGAACCCCCCAAATGTCCTATAATTTATTGCATTTACAGCATCCTTTCTGTTGGATATTTAGATAAACCAAAAACATAGGGTAAAACCTCAAGAGTCAAGAAATTAGTCTTAAGGATTAATTGGAGCAAGCAGAATCTGATGTTCAGGCAGAATTTTTTTGGAGGGTATAGGGCACATGAACTGACCTTCAAGAAATTATTTTTATGCAATCTCAGACATACATATACACTTGCATATATATGTATTTATGTATGGATATCTCTCTGTGTGTGCCGTCTTTCTGTTACATGCATGAGAAATCTTATTATAATATATTTGACAAGCTTGGTATATTTGTTAGGGTGAAGAAGTTACATTTGACTACAACTATGTGAGGGTTTTTGGAGCTGCTGCAAAAAAATGTCATTGTGGTTCACCTCATTGTCGGGGTTACATAGGTGGTGATTCACTTAGTGCTGAAGTCATTGTTCATGATGATTCAGATGTGGAATCTCCTGAACCAATGATGCTTGAAGATGGTGAAACCTGGACTGTTTCTAAAGATGTTATATCTAGATCGAGTTCCTTGGATGGTGCAGGAATGCAATGCGTGGAGAGTGTAATAACTGATGGTGCAGTAAAGTTCGAGAATATGCAAGATGCTGAGGACTCTGTGAATCATTCTTCTTCTGCCACTTCTCAATTGAACAGTTCAGTTGAAACTGAAGATCTGAAGGGGAAATTCCAATTAGCCATTCAGCCAGAAGAAGCTTCGCCTGTGACAGTTTCCAGTGAAGCTGTTCAGCAAGATGGTACTGAGGAACAGAAGGCTACCAACAAAATCTCATGTTCCATTCAGAAATTAGATGCTTCTCTAAATTTGTCAGATGGCAAATTATCTGCTGATATTATTGATGCTAATAAGAAGTCCAAGTCTGATACAGCAGAAGACAAAAAGGTTCCTGCAAAATCACGCACCCTGATGAAGACTTCTCATTCATCCAGCTCTGTTAAGAATGGGAAAACGAGTAGTAATTATCTGAATGGAAATAAGGTTCAGATAACATCCAACAAATCTCAAGTGCCGACAATCAATCCCAGAAAATTCTCAGAAAATTCAAGTACTGGTCGTTTTGAATCAGGTTAAGAAATATCTTGTTTTAAAATGAGGCTGTTTTGTAGTTTTCTATTTTTACCGATGTATGCAACTGGATGCTTGCAGTGGAGGAGAAACTTAATGAGTTGCTGGATTCTGAGGGGGGGATAACAAAACGAAAGGTTAGTGATTCAATGTCTTGCACTTAGTAAGTTTTTAGATTAGAAAATTGTTCTTGTTTTTCATCATTTTTTTACTAGCTTTTTGTGTGCTTTGGCATTGTGTTCAAGTCATGCTAAGATGACACTTATTTTGATGAGTAAAGTATGTGGATTTTTGTGTTGCATCATACTTCTTATTTCTGATCTCTATACCTAATCATGTTCGTTGAACATTCTGATTTGTGACAGGATGCTTCTAAAGGCTACTTGAAGCTTCTACTTCTCACAGCTACTTCTGGTGATGGTGGCAATGGTGAAGCAATTCAAAGGTCAACTTAGTTTCTCTTGCTTTAGATGCCTTATAACAATATATTTTGTGCTCATGCTATATAAGTTTCCAATCTTTGATTCTAGTTTTCTTATTGTGCAGCAATCGAGAGCTTTCAATGATTCTTGATGCACTTTTGAAAACAAAATCAGGACATGTGTTGACTGATATAATTAACAAGAATGGTATTCTTACAAACTTTTGCTGCGCAGCATCAAATGATGAACGCTTCATTGCAATTGCATCTCTGTTGGCTTTCAAATAAACAGCTGTTGATTTCATTTTCAGGTTTGCAGATGCTACACAACATATTGAAGAAATATAGAAGGGACTTCAAGAAGATTCCAATTCTTCGGAAGCTTCTAAAGGTGCAGTGTGGAAACTGTGTTGTTGCATTGTTATTTTGTAGAGATATTTGTGAATATGCATGTCATTTCTGGTATCAATTCTTGGAATATCAGGTGCATCATACTATGAATGGTAGTAGAGAAGATAAGCTTCCCTTTTTCGTATTTTCAGGGGGAAAAAATTAATATCGAGGAAAACATTCATTATCATGGGTCAAGTGCTTTGTTTAATAGTTATATATTCAACAATAGTATTTGAATTAACTGCATTTTAATGCTTATGAAATGGTGTCGATGCTTAAGTTGGTTTTGAAGGAAAAATGGAAAATAGTTTTGGCAGCAGTCGGTTCGCCTATAATTCTAAATTGTGTGATTAAAATCTGCTACTGCCTGTTTAAGTCAGCGACAATGCAGTTAGATTGACTTTTTAGTGTACCTCTTTTGCATTATTGTCTTTTGTGGATAGTCTTTGCCTTCATTTGAGCGCAAAGTATATTAAGCTGCTCTTTCAGGATGGTAAATGGTTATCCCCAAGGGCAAGGTTCATTATATAGGAGGAAAACTGAAACAAACATAGGGCAATATGAATCACTTTTGTCTAGTCTGCCACTACATTTCATGGCTGAAGCATCGTATAGATTCATTGAATATATATTTGCATTTGTGTATCTCTCTCTCTCTGTGTGTGTGTGTGTCAGCATGATTATCTGATTATCTAATTTTTTTCGGACAATACAAAAGGTTGCTTTTAGGTCCAGCACAGAGTTGTCTTTCTTAAGCTGGTATATGGAACTTTTAAGTTATGACAGGACTATGGCTTGCAATTTACTTCCTCTGCAGGTTTTAGAGTATTTGGCGGGGCGGGGAATACTTACTCAGGAGCATATTAATGGAGGTCCTTACTGTGCTGGAAGGGAGAGGTTAGAGGATATGACTGAGTTCTGTTTGATTGAACACACTGTTCTTCTTTTCTATATATTTACATGGAAACTATGCTTTCTCTCATGCAGCTTTAGGGAGTCGATACTGTCATTCACAGAGCATGATGACAAACAGGTATCGACTGACATTTCATCTAACATTCCCTTTTATTAATTACTTAATAGTATAGCTTCTTTAATTTGTTATCTGCGGACTATATTTTTTTCTTATTGCTTTTTCTTGGATGAATTGTGTATCTAATTGGTCAAACCTTACAGGTCCATCAAATAGCCCGAAATTTTCGTGATAAGTGGATTCGAAAACCTGTCAGAAAGTATAGCTACAGGGACAAGGATGAGGGCTGGATGGAGTTTCACAGGGTTTCAGCATCTAACAATCATTGGCGTGACCAGGCCATACGAGCTACTGAAGCAATTAATTGCGGCACGCAATCTGTGGCTGGAACATCAACAGATACTTTCACCAAGGAGGGCGGTTCTTCACCATCAGCTGGCATTTCCCAAACCAGTGGTACCAGAATTCGCAAGTGGAAAAGCCGTTGGGATCAGCCTGCGGATCCAGAGAAAATTGAATCACGGTCACCAAAGAAATTCAAATGTAGCACGTTATACACTTTAGGTCAAGCAACATCAGATCATACAGAGAAGATGAACAGTGTGGATAACGAATGGCATGAAAATTTTTGCAAAGGTGGAACTAATAATTTTGACAATGGGAACCAAAGCTTTCAGCAGGATGGTCCACTAGGGTTCCTATCTCCTCTCAATACATCTTTGGTTGCATCTGCTGCTCTTTCAACTGCTACAGGTTTCCCTCAAGCAAAAGTTTGTCCGTCGAAGTTTCCTGCTGCCGTTGTTGCTCATCCACAGAAGAGATTCATTTCCAGTTTGTCGGTTTCATTTGGAATTCCACTTACCATTTTGCAGCAGTTTGGATCACCACAAGGTGAAAGTCTAGAAACTTGGAGGATTGCCCCTGGCATGCCTTTCCACCCATTTCCGCCTTTACCTCCATGCCCCCCTGATAAGAAAGACACTCAACCTGCTTCTGCTGCTAACTCCATCAGAATTAGTGCTGACTTAAAGGAAGGGTAACAGGACCTGCCACAAGTTCTCCCGATGAAAGCATTCCAAGCACAGCTGGTGGAAACCACCCAGAGTTCGACATTTCAGGTACTAGCATCCAACAGACGATGAAAAGAATGAGAGAATCCTCATATGATTTGGGTAAGAAGTACTTCAGACAACAGAAATGAAAAGGGCCACCATGAGACATGCTGCATAGACGTAGGACATGTAAACAATGAGCCCGAAAACTCACGTTATTCAGATGATATAAACCAGTAGAATTGAAGGTCCCATTGGTTTTTTTATCTGCGCCCAAAGAAACATGATTGATTTACAGAAAATTTTCCGAGAACTGAATTTTCTTTAACTTTCATAAAATTGATGTATTTACCCTCAATTCTTTGTTTCCTGGGCTCAAGCTCCAGTGGAATTGTGTAACTTTATTCAATTACCAAGTTGTGAAGGTAATTTATCTCAGGTTATTTGTGATAATGGTGTTTCCCTTCTTGCTCATGGATACTTCATGCAACAGCATTTTTTTGATTAAAGGCCACGGACAGGGACACACCCACATTTTATATATATATATATTACTATTATAATTTTGATTTGTGTTGTATTTTAAAAAATTGCTGTCACTTGTTCCCATATATAATGAGATAAGGGGAGGTAAGATAGTAGGTTGTCCCTTGTATTTTAAGAAATAAAAATAATTATTAAAATATTGAAATTTGAACATCTTTGACATGAAATCTCACATGTCAATTCATGTATACTTTATATTTTTTAATTATATAAATTTTATTTTTTAAGTATTTTTATATTATTTATTTATAAACGGTCATATGAACTGTTACTTTAAATTTATTATAAAAATAATATTTTCGTATTATTTATTTATGGTTTAATGAAAAAAATTGCTCAATCACGTCTAATATTTTTTCCGTTATATTTTTAGATGCTTAACATTTTTCTTCTGTTACTTTTTTATGCACCTATGTAGTAACGGCTGTTAAAGAAAATGTTAAGTCACATATGTCATGTTTATATTTTGGCTAAGTGTTTCAATTATACCTAAGTTTAGGTACATAAAGAATTTCTCGTTAAGAATATATTTTTAATGTTTTCGACTTTACACTTTTAGGTACATAGATTTAACGATCATTAAATTTGGTTATTATATGATATGTGTCGTTTTTATATATATTTTTAAAATTTTATTTTTTTTAAAATGTTAAAATATTATGTTTTAAAAAATTTAAGAATTTTTTTCCTCCCACCTACGTAAAAATTCTCCCCTCCCCATATGCATTCATACCCTCCTCCACCTTCCCCATAAATCTCTAAAATTAATTTAGGGTGTAAATGATAAATTTGGTATTAAGACTGTGGATTTGGGTATTAGGTTTAAAGATTTAAATTTGGATTAAGAATTTAAGAGGATTGAGACGACATCAAGAGGGATGGTTGGTAATGAAGGCTCGATGACAGGTGAATAATCGTTCGACGATGGCGAAGGCAACCGATGATAATCGACGACAAATGATAATGGGATTGAAATGAAACATTTTAGAGTTGCATGTTTTTTATCTGTAATTTCAGAAAAAATGAATTTTATTTTAAAATTAATAATATTATTAAGTTTTTTAAAATAAAATATTTTAAAAATATAAACATAACAATGTCACTTAATGATTTTTTAATTATCATTATTGCGTAGACACCTAAAAGTGTAACGTCGGAAACATTAAGCGCCTATTTTTAACAAAAAAAAATCTTTAGACACGTAAAGTAACTTTAGATATAGTTTATGCACTTATTTTTGCATAAGCAAAAATATAAACATGACATGTGTCGTTTAACGATTTTTTAATTGTCGTTACTGCATAGATACCTAAAAGTGTAAGGTAAAAATTTTACGCACATAAAAGTATAAAGTTAAAAATGTTAGACACCTATTTTTTATAATAAATTCTTTAAACACCTAAAATTAACTTAGGATATAATTTAAACACTTATTTTTATATTAAATCTTTATGTGTAATTTTTTTTGAAGTACTTTATGTATAAATTAACTTATAATCATATGAGACTATTAGAAAAAACTTTGAAGAAATTTTGACATTATTTTATACTTCTTTTATGCAAAGAGTAAATGATCTATTTAATAGTAAAATGATTAATTAAAACCAATCCCTATCCTATAGGGACTAATATAAATTAATCTCTACAATCAATGGATTAAATTGATATAATCCCTATAGTTAAGAGACCTGACACACTCTAGATTGAAGCCCGGAGAATTCGCGGGCAAAACATTCTAGGTTCCTTTAAAAATTCCGGAGCTAGAGCTACTCTCCTCTCTCTTCGTACATCGCCGCCGCGGGACAATCTGTCCCACCCTAGTTTTGGTCTTTTGACTAAAGCCTTCAAGTTTGGAATTAAAATAAGGTCAGTTTTGATACCCTAAATTTAACGTTGAAGAATGATTTATGTTTTCGACTGTACCGCTTGTTACTCTCTTTCATCGATTTTTCTTTATGAAAGCAATCGCTTTAGCGGAAATTTACAGCCGCGGTTATCCTCTATGGGCTGCGGAATAGCGGCCGCTACACCTCTACGCCACCACTAATTGATAATCCACTTCTGATAGAAGAATAAATGATATAATCTCGGTTTATAAAATTTATAATGCAGGTACATTATTGATTACTTCATAGGCTGAGAGCAAAACAGATAGTATTTTGGTGAATTTAGGGTTTGGTAATCCGTTCAAGAATTCTCCCACGGATAGTATTATAGTGTGATTGACATGGAAGAAGATCTGGAGTTAGACGCGGATTATGAACTGTATATGAGTAGTAATAGTGGGGTAAATAAGGAGGGAATAAACAAACATTATAATGTAATTGGCATGGAAGAAGATTTGGAGTTGGACTCTGATTATGAACTGTATATGAGTAGTTTAAAGCCTGGCTATGATGATCATGTGATTGGGGAATCATCCTCAGTTGAATATATATCTAGCTTGGGCGGCGGAGTTATAGAAGAAAAGGAAGAGAGGTCCTTTAAGAATGTGGAAAGGAGGAGGGATTTCAAGAGTGATTCCCAAAGAGTAAAGGCTAAGTTTACTGGAACTTCCGATGGGTTTTTGAGGAAAGCAAACACTAGGATGCCGAAAACCGTGAAGAAATGTTCGAAGATTAGAGTTGAAGGAAGTGAGAATAAAGAAAGAAATGCAGCCAGTGGAAAAAGAAAGAGTCTAATCTATGGGAACAAAGTAAGTGGAGAACCTTTTAAGAAGATGGAATCTGGAAAGGATATAGAAAGTTTTAGCTATGAAAGTGATAACACAAGTGTACATCAGACGGATGATGAAGGTGGTTCTGATTTGGAGATACTTGCATTTGATGATGATACTTTTCATGAAGGACAAGATACACCGTTTGTATCATCAAAATGTTATCGATCATTGGTAAGCATATTTTCTTTTCAACTTTTTGTTTCATCTATTCTAGTTTTTCTCTCTGCCAAGCAGTTTAATAGGTTCTAACCTTATCTATATGTCATTGGAAGTTGCTTTTTTTCAAAAGTATAATTGTTACATGATTATAGTTTAATTCTGTATGTTACTGACCCCTTTACTGTTCTTCTGGTTTTATGTGCTTGTTGTCGGAAAAAGGTTGATGAAGATAGTTGGGATGGCAACAGAACCTCTGCTCAGTCTCAGTTCAGGGAGAAGCTTATGGATCTTCTTAAACTTCCTTATGACCAACATGAGTTTGAAAGTCTATTGCAACAAGTAACTCACAAAAGACCAGTGCAAGGTGTTAGAGAGTTACGTCGTGGAATATCGAAACTATATTCAACTAACACCGATGGAAAATCGTACCTTGATTGGTACAAAGGTAAGTGATTCTTTTGTGTCTTGCATCATATTCATAATTATGTATACATTGATTGCCTCTATCTAGAAGCATCCTTTTATAGGTTGTGTGGTTCTATCACAAGGCTGATGTACAATTAATTTTACTTGTCTAAGAAGAGTAATGTGATCATGTCCTTTCTTGGTAATGCTACTGAGTGCTAGATGATCCGGAATCTCAAATTCGTTCTCCTAAATTGCTGGTGATGTCTTCTCGTTTCTTTGGTTTTGTTATTTCCACTGCCGTGTAATAAGATTTTATGTTTGCCGGTACAAGATTGCTCTCTGGTATTCCTCAAAGTGCAGCTCTCATAGAATAGATTGTTTCTGCAAGTAATTTGAGTTGTACATTTTACTCTTGCAGACTTAAAAGCGAAAGTCGATGAATTCAGTTGCGATCAACGTAAAGTTTTGTATCTCTTACGTGGATTTTTCTTTTGGTTGATGGTGAGTATTTCATATCATTGGTGCATATTCTCATGCTCATTTTCATCTTGCCAAAATGTCCCTCTCAGATGCTAATATATTTTCCTAGAAAAAGCAGAGCTGGGGAAAAATAGGGTGGATTTTGAAGAAGGAAAAAAGGGCATAATGCAATCTGATCCCAGTTTCAGACCCTGGTTCTTCATTTTTCATAAGTACACATTTGACATGTTAGACATATATTCAAAAATGAGTATGGGATATGTTCTTATAAATACAAGTACAAGAAAACGTAGAAAAATCAAGTATACCCTATTGACAATTTAATTTCGCACACCCTAAATTTTTAGTATGACCTTTTAAGTTTGTACCTCCTAACATAAAATCATGCATCTGTCACTGAGTATATGTGTCTTGGACACAATCATATCCGACATTCACCTAAGTTCGAGTAAAATAGATCGGTTCCTTGGTGTAATGGCATAAACTACTAAGCTTGTATATTTCTAACTATATAAAAGCAAAGCTTCTGAAAATGTTTTTGTGCATGTTTGTCAGAATACTGCCCATGAAGGTGCATTCAAGCCTTGGAAGGACTCTTTGTATTTGAATGCTTTGGGATGACCAGAGATTTTGTATGAATCTAGCAATATATATACCTCAGTGTTATAATCCTACTATTGACAATTGCAGCATTGGGTACACATTTTGTTTTATTTTTGAATTTGATTCGTTTGGAAACATGAATTTAAAAATTTGGATGAGAATAGTCCATCAAATGGTCTCAATGGTTAAGTGAAATATCGTTCTTCTTAAAGGACTTGTGTTTGAACAGTTGCGTATGTAGAGTGTGTGCTTGTTGGTTAAGAAAGATTCTAAATATATATTACATTGTGATCACTTCAGACTAATAAAAAAATTAGATTAAGATGTTATTTGTCATGAAAATGGTAAGACTTGAACGACTTAAATAGAATTAAAAAATTATTAAAGTTATAAAAATATTCTTTAACTGAAATAACTTGAATTTTTTTAATTCGACTTGACTCGAACGAATACTCTTTTTACAACATATGCAAAGAAAATAAAAGAAAAATGTCGGCAGCCGCAGTGCACGTGACCGTGTCTTCTATTCTTCATCCTTTCCCCAATCGGAGAATCTCAGCGCATCTCGTACGTAACGTTATTTATTAGTATTGATTTTATTACTGATTTATTAAATATTTCCACTTTGTAAGCGTGAGTACACGCTCTCCCTGTTCACATATCCTCTCTCTGCCTCCGATCTTTTATTTTCTTCTGCAAATCGAATTTGTCTCTTTCTCTCGAAGGTTTTTCCATCACTTTCCTGAGAAAGTTTGACGAATAAAAACTAGTTCCCCACTGAGTTCAAACAAAATGAAAACGACAGCTCCAATAACCAGTACTGCAACAACCGCCACCGCATCTTCGAGGAGGATAATTGATGTCCTTAAAACTCCAAAGTTTGTTAAATTACTAGCCGTTGTTCTCCTCTCTGTTTCACTCGTTTTCCTTGTTACTCACTTATCCTCCTCTTCTTTTCCCTTCTCTTCCTTCTCAACCGATTACTCCTTACCAACTCCGCATGCGTCGCCTCCGCTTTCCCCCCCTCCCCCTCCGCCGCCGGCAGTGCGAAGGACGGGGATAATAGACGAAAATGGAACAATGTCTGCTGAGTTCATTGTCGGAGAATCAGATTCGAACTCCACGAATAATTCTACAGAGTTCGGTGTTGGAAACGAGGAAGGAAGAGAAGAAGAGAAAAGGAAGGGTGAGAGCGATGATGAAGTTAGGATTAAGTTTGAGAAATATAAGGTGTGTGAGAAGAGTAAAGTTGATTATGTACCGTGTTTGGATAACGAAGAAGCAATTAAGCTGTTTAGTAATAGTGAAAGGGGGGAGAAATACGAGAGGCATTGTCCTGGAAAAGATAAAATGTTGGATTGTGTGGTTCCGACACCGAAAGGGTACCAAAGACCTATACCTTGGCCTCAGAGTCGTGATGAGGTAAATTTTTGCCTGAAAATTCTTTGATTTTATATACTATTTATTTATTTTTTTAAAAATAGTTGTAAAGTTGTAATTGGACTTTCTAGTAGAAAACTTTGATGATTTTAGTAAGGTGTAGATGGGAGTTCGATTGGGTATTGGTTTCAAGTAATGGCAATTTGGGTGTTAAGGTTGCTATTGTTCTGTTGATGAATGGTTAGCTAAGGAATTATATATCCTGTGCAAAGGGCTGCAGTTGAACTAGGTAGAAAAGAGCCATGTAGTGAACTTGTGCGATGGCCTAAGGTAATGAAGTGGAGACAAAATGCTCCGTAGGTAGTATGTTTATGCAAGAGACCTTTTTTCTTTTTTCAAGTATAGTGGAGTTTAGTACCCTAAGTGATAGTACTCTTGGTAGAAAATTATCAGGAGATTATGTTTTTAAGTACTACCATTGGATTGGTGTTAACATCTCCCGGGTGCATCTAGATTTGCCACTGAAGTTGTCTGATATCAGTTTTAGTTGTAATGTTGCCCCCCATAGGAATTCAAGCGGGTTGGTGCCGTGATGGAACTTCAATATTAAATAGTTAATAGTATATGATTTCTCCAAACTTTATGACATAGGAATAATGGAATTAGTAACTACTATTTTGATGAAAGATGATAGCTACATCACAATGAAATTGGTAGATAAAAGTTAACTTAGAGATGGGAGCAGGCATCCCTAGCCTCTGAGCTGGTTTCATTAATGATATTTTGATAGTGGTTGAATTCATCAAATATATGGTCTTGACTTTGGCCTATTTACCAAGAACATAGTTGTCACGAGACTTTAATATCCCTCTTTAGGAATTTATAGTGTTAAAGTCTTATCATTTTCTGTTAGCTGCTCAATCTGCCTATCTAGTTTTCTTTGCTGCTGCACATGCCGCTATGAATACTATTTGGATATAACAACTTTCTTTGGTGCTATATTTCAAATTAACTATTTCACCCTGGCGAACTCTTATTGAAGGTTCTTTTGTCTACACTTGAGTTATAATTGCAGGTTTGGTTTAGCAATGTGCCACATACTCGTCTGGTTGAAGATAAAGGTGGGCAAAATTGGATATCAATAAAGAAAGACAAGTTCATTTTTCCAGGAGGTGGAACACAATTTATTCATGGGGCTGATCAATATTTGAATCAGATTTCACAGGTCGTCTGCTTTAACAATCTCTTTTTGGTAACAGTACTAGCTTTTTACATGGGATTGATAATCATCTTTCTGTTTGCAGATGGTCCCTGAAATTTCTTTTGGCTGCCATGTCCGTGTTGCATTAGATATTGGTTGTGGAGTTGCCAGTTTTGGTGCTTTTCTTCTACAACGCAATGTCACCACTTTATCAATAGCACCGAAAGATGTTCATGAAAACCAAATTCAATTTGCACTAGAGCGTGGGGTACCTGCCATGGTTGCAGTATTTGCTACTCATCGACTGTTGTATCCAAGTCAGGCTTTTGACTTGATACATTGTTCAAGATGTAGAATTAATTGGACTCGTGATGGTACACTATATTTTCTTTAACATGTCCAAAAGAGCTGCTATATCTTGAAATATTTGAGAAGTATTGGCATTTAATTAAGGTTCAGTTGTCTTTAATTGACTATTGCAACCTAATAATGAAATTAAATTGTTCCAAAAGCATTCTTTTATGGTTATTTGAGCATTAAATCTTTTAGTGGTTAGGATTGCTCATGTGCAAGTATTTACCCTCTGAATGTGCATATATATGTGAGAAAACATGCTTAGTAGGTTGAGTTATTAATTATACACAAATATAAATATATGTTGCATGTACACCAGAGCTCTTTGATCTTGATGCTTCTTTCTATTTTTGCCTATGGTGAAGATGGAATTTTGCTTCTCGAGGTCAACAGGATGCTTAGAGCTGGAGGCTATTTTGTCTGGGCTGCACAGCCTGTATATAAACATGAAGAGATTCTACAAGAGCAGTGGAAAGGTACCCCCTCATGTCAAGTTTTTTACAGCTCTCTCTCTCTCTCAGCACACACATACAGACATTTTTTTATGGTGCTTGATATCCTGATTCAAAGTTTTAGATGCTTTGAATACTTTGCATCACTTAATCGTTTAAATAAGAAAGAACCAAAATGTCAGTTGTATGTATCACCTTGATCACCTATGCCTTCATCCACTTTATCATCTTTTATCGTGTTCAATGAAAATAAGATTGATACATTGAAATAGCTCAGATTTATTTGTAAGCTAATTTATCTACAGAAATGGAAGATCTTACCTCTCGCATTTGCTGGGAGCTAGTAAAGAAGGAGGGATATATTGCCATATGGCGGAAGCCTTTAAACAATAGTTGCTATCTTAATCGTGATACTGGAGCACTACCTCCCCTTTGTGACCCTGATGTTAATTCAGACAATGTTTGGTATGTCCTGCTTCAATACATGAAGGTTCACTGCATTTAAATGACAATAAAAATCTTATGCAATTGATTTCAACATATTTAGTACTGGGCCGGTATTTTGGGACTTATTATCCTGCATTTTTTTGTTTGTTAAATTGCTCTTCAGAGTTCAGACCATGTCCTTGGTGTAATGAAGAAGCAGTAACCTGAGAGTTAGACTTTGGAAACCACCTATAAGTTGAAAAATCTGTCTGTTTTCTTTTACTTGTGCCAAATAGGCAAACCTACATCTTAAGGTTTTAAAAGATTGTGGCCAAACATTGATACCTGTAGTTTGTGTTTCAGAGAATAAAAATAAATAAATTGACTTCCTGTGGCCATTTACATTTCTTACAAACCAGCAAGGAAGCCTTATAAAGTCAAACACATAAATTAAGTACAACAAAGAATAGCATAGAAGAAAGATTAGGAGATCCCTGCTTAGGCTTGACAATTAAAAAGTTGAGGGTGGGGTCTTGGATAGGGGATTTCTCACCATTATTTTGCTTAGGCCTCCAGCAATTAAGTATAGAAGTTGCTGGTAGAGAAAAACCATTGCCTCCGAAAACCTTGAATTGTATCAGTCTTTTAAGGAGTATTTTGTAGTTGGTTGCTTCCTTGTTGTCTTTGTTTGCTCATATTTTCTGCTCCTGTAAACTTTGGTATGGCAGAAAAGCTCAAGGATGCTTTACTAGCCAAAGTTGAACAACTCATAACAAGCTGCAGTGTAACAATGTTTGCAGGTATGTTGACTTGAAGGCATGCATCACTCAATTGCCAGGGAATGGTTATGGCTCTAATGTTAACACATGGCCTGCACGTCTTCATGATCCACCCGACAGGCTTCAAAGCATAGAAATGGATGCCTATATTTCCAGAAAGGAAATCTTGAGAGCTGAGTCAAAATACTGGAATGAAATAATAGACAGTTACATACGTGCTTTTCACTGGAAAGATATGAAACTACGTAATGTGATGGACATGAGGGCTGGACTTGGAGGGTAACTACTTATATACCATGCTGCAGCATAGACTTTTCTGATTTTGAAGTGCTTTTATGTTTTGTTAAGAATGCAAAAGAAATATTGCATTATTTTGATTATTTTGTTTTTTCTTACAATGCAGGTTTGCAGCAGCATTACATGATCTCCAGATTGATTGCTGGGTTATGAATGTTGTTCCTGTTAGTGGGTTCAACACATTACCTGTAATTTATGATCGTGGACTTATAGGAATTATGCACGACTGGTATAGTCAATACACACTTAAAAATCTGGATTTTATATTCTTCTTCCAACGTCATGTGCATGGTGGTATTGTAGCATTTATCCAGATTGTCTTTACCCATGTATATAGTGCATGAAGCTAATTATCCGGAAATGAAGCTACTGTTTTGGACCATGATAGTTCAAACATGCACCTTTTGTGATCGATGTGGTCATAATGGTAAAAAGTATCTAAATGAGAGAGGACATCATTTATGTTATAATCAAAATTTCTACTTAGATGTACTTTCTGGAAGCCATCATGTTTGTTTCGAGGAAAGCTGAGCTTCTTTGAGTCAATCCGTGTAGCAGCACTTGGCACATCCGGTAAATTGGCTTGAACTAGGATGAGCCTTAAACTAAGTCAAGCAGCTGTTAAAAATAGCGCATACTTAAAACCAACATGTGAATCTTCTAAACCATTTTGGCCGGGAAAGTAAAAGGATCTTCCACCAATGTTTGTGCTAGTAATAATACTTGCAAACTTTCAATTGCTAGTTTTATCATGGTTAAAACTGCATGGTCTTCCATTGGTTTATTTGTAGCTCATTTGTGATTGAGTGTTTTTGAATGCTTTCAATCTCATCTGTAGTATTTCCACATACTTTAGACTTGTGATTCTTAAATTCTTTTCCAGGTGTGAACCATTTGATACCTATCCAAGAACATATGATTTATTGCATGCTTCAGGCCTTTTCTCCGTTGAGAAGAAGAGGTATTATTCATTCCTTTTTCCCTCTTTTGTGCTAGTTTATGGTAATGATGCACATTCTTCAGATGCAGTCTATCATGTTCGATATAGGTGTAATATGTCAACCATCATGCTTGAGATGGACCGGATTCTGAGACCTGGTGGACGTGTATACATACGGGATTCAATCTCCATTATGGGTGAACTTAAAGAAATAACAACTGCAATGGGATGGGTGGCTGCGGTACATGACACAGGTGAAGGTCCACATGCAAGCTGGAGAATTTTAATCTCTGAGAAACGTATGTAACTCGCTTGTTTGATGAGCATGGTGAAACCATGTTTTATATGTCCACGTCTTGTGCACCTTTTGGACATGCATGAAATCTCACACAGAAAGAAGCTGCAACTCTCCGAACAAAAAAGTGGTAAGAGCTGCAACGCGTTCCTCATAATTTAGTATAATCTGTTGTCTTATGTACTCAGTGAACATTACAGGTCGATATTACTATATTTAGCGAACATATACTAGTGGATTTCCTTTTTCTCTTTTGTATTCCAAGTGTAATTTGTACATTACATAATTTGCCATTCAGCATATGTTGAAAGTGTTAATGCAACCTGTATGCCTTACTGATTATCTTTAGGAAACTATTCCATGTTTCAATTGAGGGAATATGTGATTTCATTATACCAGGTTATGTTTTCCCCAACTCTTATTTCTTGAAGAATGTTCGACACTCGGGCACATATCTTGACATAAGTTTAGGGATATGATCCTCTAAGATCTCGTATTTGACACGTATATGTGTTTGGCACACATTCGAATCGAACTTATAATGGGTCAAAAAGATCCATCCATTGACAACTTGTAACATAGATTTCACCAATCAATGCTCATCAAACTTCTTTTTATATAATTCTAAGAGTTCATCCATTAACAATGATCACAAACATAAACTCTCTATCCAAACAATCCTTGGACACAATTAACTATGATTTCAACAAAGCATCCTTGAGAACAGCAGTATTAATCTGTTTAGAGAGATAAGCTTCATAAATTTCCACAACAAGTCGAGCATCCTTTTCCACGAGTTCCATGTACTCTTCCTTTTTCGTAAGCTTATCCATGTTGTCAGTAATCAGACTCAATGCCGCATCAAGCACGAGCTTGGCACCATGCTGGTGAGCGAAAGCATAGGTCATGAGTGAATTATCCCAGTTCAATTTGGACACCAGGAACTTCTCGCAGAAGCCTTTGAGACGCTTCACCTGGTACTTTTCGGCCAAAACCAGAAGATCACAAGCCATCTGCTCATCGAGCCATGCTTCTGCAGTGTACAAATAGTTCACAAAGGCTCGCAGAGCATCGTATGATACGTCACTGATCTTAATTGTTCCACTTCTGCTTTCTTCCATCTCATTTTCAAGCATTGCTTTGAACACTGGTGAACGATTCACCTGGAAAATATTCATATATATATATATATAACATTCAACAACAATCCAACAATAAATGTTTTCTAAAAAACACATTTCCTAGTTTGGGTCTAGTTTTCTACTGTAAAAGCGAATATCCATGATCCAAATAAAAATTTCGAAAATTCAGAGTTTGGGCCGCATTAAAAATTAAATTATTTGCATTTTAAGTTGAAATTCGAAGCAAATGGATAGTACCAAAACGGCTTTATGGGCGGGAACAGGGGGCAAGCCGGGGGAGACATCATCGGAAGCGACCAAAACGACGTCGGGGAAGACGGGACCGGGGGAGGTAGGGGAGCCGCGGTGGGCGTGATCGAGCGGGGACCAAAAGCGTAAAAAGGCGACCTTGGCTTTGAGATCTTCGATCTCGCGCCTGAGTTCTTCCTCGGTCTCGCCGGCTTCCTCGTAACACTCCTTGCACGTGCCGGCGTCGCGTGCGGCATACTCTTCCTTGCAGGATATGCATCTGAGCGTCTCGGCGTCGCTCTCGCTCTCCGTCTCGGAATCCGATCGGACCACCTGGTGACACCGATGCCGTCGCATGTTTTTGCTCTATGGGAAAGAACGTGCGGCTTTCGCTACTGGTGGGTTGTTTTTAATTTTTTTTTCGATAATTCCTACCCTTTTAAACCTTTATATTCTAAAATTTATTTATTTTTTCTCATTATTTGAAAAATAAAATATTTTTTATTAAAACACGCAATAAGTGACCAAATATTCATACTTCAACTTTTATTTTTTTAATCAATCACTAATATCTAATTTATTTACCAACTAATTTAAATTAAATTTTGTAGAGGTTCATTATAAGGTTGACTATATTAATCTAACTTGCTCCATTTATAAATATTAAGATTCGAAACTCTTGATCTTATTTAAATAATTTAGTATTTCATCCCATCAAACTAACTAATTATTGGTCCTTATATTTATTCTTTTATTGAACCAATATGATAGCAAAAAGGGAAAAAGAAAAATTAGTTGTACAATGTGGCAATTTGAGTAAAATGTGTTTCCTTATTGATCGAAATCAGCAACGTTGAGACTTGAGAATCTAGAAGTCCGACACAGAAATTGACCTGAACTTTTGGATTAAGCACACTATTTGCTCTAAACAACCGGCACCTGTCATTTTCAATGTACTATAGACCGGAATCATCCGGTGCCGATGCGATCCAACTACACAAACTAAAAGATAAGGGTAAACTACATCTCACGTCACTCAATTATTAGTTCAATTATAAACAGGTCATTTTTTTCTTTCTAAAAGTTTACAAACAAGAGGACATGGAACACTTTTGGTCCCCAAAACTTATACATTTTACCAATTTGGTCATAATCTAAAAGAATTCAAGAAACTTAACCATTCATATTAAAAATCCTATCAATTAAGTTTCCCCCCCTTATGAATTGGTAAAGTCTTTCATATGAAATCTGGTTTTAGTTGTGCAATAAGAGGACATCTTCTTTCATATTTTTAATGCTTTTGAAGTACCAAATGCAGGTTGTATCGATCGTCGATCAATCTTATCTTTAGATAATATGTTTTGTTATACATGTACTTTGTAAATGGATCAATCTTATCTTTAGATAATATGTTTTGTTATACATGTACTTTGTAAATGGTGCAAGACGAGCTTATTCACTCATATAAATTGATTAATATTAGTCGATGGTAGACTTTTATCAGTAACTTATTGTTACTTATGATAGAATACAATTGTGCAACTACTTTTTTTAATTCAATGGATTTGTTTGACTTGATATTATCGTAAAAAAATAACAAAATAGTGATTTTTTAAATATGACGAGTTAGATTTATTGAATTAGGACTAAATTTATAGGACATATAAATTTTGAGGACTAGAAATATTATTATATCAGATCACATTAAACTTTTTTTTTTAATTTTAATGACGAGGTGACCTGTTTGTAATCATATTTTAATTAAGTGACTAAATGGTAACTTTTAGAGAAAGGTGACATGTCTGTAACTGAACTAATAATTGAATGACATAAAATGTAGTTTAACCAAAAATAAAGGGTAAAGTACAAAAATGGTCAATAAATTATGCTAAAATAATCTTTTTGATCAATAAAAATTTGGAAGTTACATAAGGATCATTAAATTTATCAAACTATTACAAAATGATTACTATAAATTATAAAATAGTGATGATTTTGTAATAATTTTAAAGACAATTTTGTAATAATTTTAAAGACAATTTTGTAATAAAATGACAAGTACATTGATCATTTTGTAATGGTTTGATAAGTTTAATGATCATTTTGTAATCATTTGGGATGTTTAATGACAATTTTGTAACTATAAATGACCAAAAAGATCATTTCAACATAGTTTATTGACCATTTATGTACTTTGCCCATAAATAAAACAGTAAACTAAAAAGTCTAAAATTCTTCGGTGGAGTCCTTTTGTTTTCAAATATAAAAACACAATCTAACGAAGTGGAATAAGACGAGAAGTTGCAGAGGACGACAAAGTTTCCGAGAAAAGTAATAGTAAAACCTTCTTTCAATTCGTTTAGGGTTTCAAATTTTCATCTCAGGTGAACTTTCTTTATTCTCTTTTCATTTCCATTAAGAGTTTTCCTTTTGTTGTTTTCTGTTTGGTTCTCGAGAAATGTAGGTAGGAAAAATAGAGAGAGAGAGAGAGAGAAGACGTAGTTGTTTAATGATTCAAATTTCTAATTCTTGAACCTCAAATTATTTAAAATTAGTAAATACTGAAGTTCGGTTAGTTACATTGCTTAATTTGATTAAATTTCTATGTTTACGCCTTCTTTTCGTGGAAATAGAGAGCAGGCCAGCAGGGGATAGTTATTTCCAGTTCAATTTTCTTTTGGTTTTTTATTTGATTTCCTAGTTGCATAACATATTTTTTCCCACTGAATTTGATGATTTTAAGATGTTTATGTGATAATTTTATGTTAATTTGGAAGATGACGCTGGTTTGTTACACCGAAACCCTAACTCTGGGGGTGAAATGCTTTGCAAACTAGGGTTTTGTGGAATGGTAGAAATGGGTCTCGAGGAAGGGACAAGCAATGGTGAAGGAACAGAGAGAGGGGAGAAAATTAAGTCCTCCAAAAGTAAACCAGTGGATAATGGGTTTGGATATGAATGTATGATTGATTCTGGTGATGGAAGTTCAGGAGCAAGTGAGAGTTTCCGAACATATAAGAGACGCAGGCAGTTAAGTTCGAGTTCAAAGGTCAAAGTGCAAGATGGTGGGAAAGCATCGGCAAACCAGGTAGCTTTTATTGATAAACATGTCTGAATACGTATGTTTGCAGTTGTAGCTGTTAACTTTCTTTTGTTATTGTAATGTATAATGTTGAATTGGCTTGGGCTTATTTCGGTACTTTTCTCCTAGTTATAAGAGCTTACAGATTGTGCATTTGGGTCATTGAGGAAAAGTTTAATTTGTTTGCAATCAGATTGAAAGCTCTAATTTGAGACTATACTATGGATACAAGGAGAAGATTTGACTGGGTTGTTGGGTACTTCAAAGAAAAATTCAAACTATTGTATTAGGTTTATAAGTTTATAGCTATCGTGCATAGTATGTCATAAATATGTGAGCTTGTAATGCCTAGAAATTCACAATAATGGGTAGTTGTTACTTGTTGATGGTATTTTGGAACTCATGTGGTTTTTGGGTGGCTTTGTTGGTTGAACGAAGGTGGTTCTTTTACATATATTCTTTCTCGTGCAATGAGTTTAGATACTGTTTGCAAGTGAGTTGATTCTACAGATATTCCTAAAAGTTGGCTTTAGCCCTCAAGCATTGTTCTACAAGGTTTCATCAAGATGTGTGTTGCACTTGAAGCTGTGAAGGGGCATGGGATGTAAAAATGTCAAATTTTATTTTATGGCAACTTCAGTGTATTTCTTTCATGTCGGTCAGATGAATAGGGGCTGATGTATTTGAGAATTTTAATCCTGTTATCCTGTATCATAATGATAATCGAAAGTGATAGTTGTTTTTACTAGTTTCATTGTTCTATTTCTTAAGTATCCCACATCTTTAATGAATAAAATCTTTTCAGCATTACATATAAAACCACAGAAATAGATTCCTGTGTTATGGCTGTTAGCTACCTTTAGGTAAATAAGGAAGCAAAAGCTTCTGAAGTTAGTGAAGCAAGCTATGATACTGTATGCCACCCTTCTGTAGAACGAATGGACGATATAAAAGTGGAAAAGTTCTGAATTATCTACAGCAAGATTTTATAATTTGGCCCTATGTTATCGAGATATATGTATTTGCTGTGTTCTTTTTCCGTGAATACCCGATATTCTTTTTGAGCTGACAAGTTCTTGTCTTTGTTGTTCTTTTAAACAAAGATATTTGGCTTTCGAGACCACAAAGTACAGTTTGACATGCTAAATGATTATACTTACTGTGAGCAGGTCAGTATTCCTGGGACTGATCATTGTGGTTCTTTAAATGACAAAAATTATTGTCCACAAAGGAAGTGGAGAAATGTTAATGTTGTATTGGAGCACATGCATCAGTTATTAAGTGGTGATGAAGGTGGTATACAGCGTTGCATTCAAGATGCACTTTTATTTCTCCGAGAAAATGGTTGTAATGTGACATTTAAGGTTTATGCTTTTATCTAAACTCCACGTGGTCTATGATGTCTTGTACTGATCTTTCTCTTGTCAATTTTCATTCTGATATATTGGAATATTAATTTTCTGATTCATCTACAGGATTCTGAGGAGCTGGAGGCTGTCATATCTAATGGGTCCTTTAAGGAGTCAAAATCTCAAACCACCACTGAGATGTGCCAGCGTGTTTTCTCTGAAGTTATAATTTCTGAAAAATTCACATCTTTGTGTAAGCTTCTATTTGACAATTTCCAAGGGATCAAGCTTGATAACCTTTTTCACTTAAGTCTCATGAACTCAAAGATGAAAGATGGAGCTTATGAGCAATTACCTATGCTTTTCTCCTCAGACATTCAGCAGGTAATTTATGCAACCATTTTTATTTGCATGAATTGCTTGAATGGACTTGCTTAGTTTAAAGCTGAATATGTTACATTGATTGAATTAAAATTTTATAAGCTCAATTTTCAGGTACGTTTAGAACAGTTTATTACATTCTGGGCCCTTAGCTAGATGATGTTAGATTCTATATTGCTGAACTTTTGTGAAGGATATCCAAATGAAATATATTGTTTTCAGTCAACTAGTTTGCTCATTTCTTTTTGTAGGACATTCTAGAAGTGAAAATTTATGCTTCATGTAGCAGTTTTATTTGGATTTATTTGTAAAACCACATTAGTATTGAGAAATTGGATGGATGTGGGACCTGAGATCAATTCTTATAGTTGTATATGGAAAATTTGCAATTCTTTTGAATGATTTGAGAATCTGCTGCTTATTTTTATAGAGGCATTTACTAGATCTGTGTGTCTTTTTTCTAGTTGATTATTCTTGCATATACATGGTGTATTTGTATCCGATTATTGCTTCTTTTTTTCTGGGATAGTGTTGTGTACTTGATTTTCCTTAATTTGTTGTTCAATGCAATGGACTTGCAGAAGCTTTTTCTTGCAAAGAGAAGAAATGCTTGCAAAATATCCCCCCAAAATTAATAGCATATTCCATGTAGCAGATCCGGTTATTTTTTCAGTAGTAATTATATATTTACACAAATACTTATATATGCCTTAACCTAAATTTCTCCTATAGATATGGAGAAAACTTCAAGAAATAGGAACTGAAATTGCATCCCTCGCAAAGAGCCTCTCAAACATATCAAGCACATCTTATCGTGAAAAAGTGAGTTAGCAAACACATACTACTGCTATTGTAATTTGTTTCAAGAACTTTATTGCTAATAACTAATCTTTGTGATGTTTTTCTTATAATTTTCAGATTGGCTGTTCTGGTGTTGCTGTTGAAGAGGAGAAACATGAGGTAAACATTCATGAATTAGCTTGTAGTTTGCATTTGCATGCTTGTATCAGCATAATGCATTGCTAACTTCAAATTTCAGTTATAGGTGCATTTAACTATATTAGATATTTTGCATAAAAAATGAAAGAACTGTGTTAGGTAGTTCAGGGGGATTCTAAAAAAAGGAATCTTAAGGTGAAAATAAGGTAAGATACATAAAATGTTACCAAAATATACTCAATTTATGTACACACACAAAAATTGATAACCTTTTGGATATGTACGCAAAATGTTACAATGTTTATAACAATTTATGTATCTTACCTTATTTTACCTTAAATTAAAGATCCTCACCTTAGAACTACCTGGTTTAGAGTGCTTAGAGAGTTAGATAAAGTTGATTCAGGATAAGACCTTGGAGTTTCTAATGTTATGTTTGGACAAATTTCAATGGAGGTACTGCTTTGTATAAAAATTGATGGGTGTGCTATCTGAAATTGGTATTCGTAGAGCATTTTGATGAATATTTGAATTTAGCATTTGTATAGCACCTTGGTTTTAAAGCAGTAGGAGGATTCTGACCTGAACTGTTTTCATCTAGCTTTTAATTTGTATTACATGCAAGCTATTTCAATTTATATGCTAAGAATCTGCTTTGAAGGTTGAGTTTCCTTTATGAGATATATTATTTCTTTTTTTATTTTTCAATGGAAAACAGTTCCGTACTCGGGAGCTGGAATCTCATGTTAAACTGCCGCAAACTGAAGCTTGTGGTGTGTATAAAGTTTGCACTTGCAGGCATTGTGGGGAGAAAGCAGATGAGAAGGATTGTTTAGTTTGTGATTCATGTGAGGTAATGTACCATGTTGCCTGTATTAACCCTGCTGTGATGGAGATTCCTCCAAGAAGTTGGTATTGTGCAATCTGTACTGCGAAGGGAATAGGATCTCTGCATGAGAACTGTGTGGTATGTGCGAGACTGAATGTCCCAGGGAATCTCTACGAAGATGTTGCTGATGAAAACCATAATGGAAACTGTGAAATGTTTACTGACCTGGGAGAAAATTCAAACTGTAGCATCGACCAGGGGACTCAATCTCAACAACAGAGCAAAAACCAACATGATTGTAAAATTTGCGGAAGTGTTGTTCAACAAGGTGAGGAGTTAAGGAGTTGTGAGCATCCCTTCTGCCCCCATAAATATTATCATGTGAGGTGCCTGACAATGAAACAGTTAAAATCATATTGTTCCCTTTGGTACTGCCCTTCATGTCTCTGTAGAACTTGCCTCGTCGACAAAGATGATGATAAGATTGTTTTATGTGACGGCTGTGATGCTGCATACCACATTTATTGCATGAAACCACCGCGAACCTCAATCCCTAGCGGGAAATGGTTTTGCAGAGAATGTGATGCTGGGATCCAACTCATACACAGAGCTAAAAGGGCGTACCAGAATCGGGAAAATAAGCTAAAAAGGAAAGGCATAGGAGGCAAACTGGCATATGATAATCTGGAAACGAGTCAAAATCTGGAAAACAAAGAGGAGACGAATAAAAGTAGAGGCGGAGTGGACATGCTTCTGACTGCTGCCGGTACTCTACATTTGGAGGAGAAGTTGAATGCTATTCAGATGAAGACATAGAAAGAGCCTTGCACTTGGAGGACATAACAAAATTTAGAGTTGTTGGTTACGGGCAACTCCGAACGACAACTTATTCTTCATTTTTTCCGGCTGGGGAACGGATGTTCTGATATGTTGTAAAACTTCATCACATTTTGCTGGCACCACTAACAGGTGATTGATGAAGTAAAATGATAGACTTGTAATATGAGAAGAATTACACAGTTTAGAGAGGAGAGTTATGTGAAGCAATGGTTTCTCAGCAAATGTTTGTATAATTGTGTAGAAAACTGTGACCAAACAACCTGTTTTTATTGATGAAAAGTTCAGTTTTTTCCTTTTTTCATAAATTGCTGGTTAATTGACTTGTTATCATGGGTATCAATAGATGTTGGCTTTGAATCATGGCTATCGTTATCATACCGATATCGATCGAAAATTGTATCAAGTAATTTAAGTATCGTTTTAATTAAAAAATTATTATGTTTAAGCTATTTTAGTCTACAGGGGTGTACATTGGTCTTTTTAATATTTTATCTTAATTTCAGTGGTAAAATTTAATATTGTTCTCCATAAAAGTCTTAAACTCGAATAGTTACGTCTGCAGAGTATGTCTTCTTTGGTTAAGAAAGATTTTGAATATATATTATCATGTAATTCACACTACCATTATATTCAAAAAGAAAATAAAAATATGATTATTAAACCTAATTGATTTTTGTATATAAATATATTTATCTGTATTATGCATATATATATATTTATCATATAATCTATTAACATAAGGATTAAAATATGTGTAAAAAATATTTTAAAAAAATTGAACAAATCGAAAATGTTATATTAAAAACATCAATGACAATACATATCATTATCATGCAAAAATAATATAATTATATATAATAATAATTTATTTTCGAAATAATATTCAGAATTGGTTACTTTTAAGACTTTAAGGTTCGAAGGTTTTTAACAGTAGCAAATTACGTTATGTACCGAACATATATATGTTCTAGGTAAACATCAATCAATAGTTAATGACGAACCCACCTTTAAGTTCAAGATGAATACATGTTTATCTTTTAAGTTTAATTTTTCTTTTAGTTATTTATTTTATTAATTATGTTTACTTTAAAATTTTATATATATTTTTTTATATTATTAATATATGTATATACTTTAAAAAATATTTATAAATTTGTCGCTTTCGATATGGATGATTAAGTGATAGGTGAAGTGAATGTGATGGCAACTGTGAAAACAATCTGATAAAGACTAAAGAGAATCTGCAATGTGTCAATATATAAACACCTTCCGGGAAGTGTAAGAAAACAATGAGGCGAAGCTTGTTTGCTTATTGCCTCTTCCCTCTTCCCTATTGGCCATTGCTTCCTGTTTTCGACTACATTTAATTCCGTGACTTTACAACATCCTTTCCTAGTTCTAATTTTTAACCGTCAAGGAAAGCCCGTTGAACCCATTTTGGCTTGGCGAAAGAAGAACTAAGGTGGGAAAAACTGAAGCGGAAAGAGAGGAGAAGAGATGGGTGTCAGAATGTATTCAACGGGGTTAACGTTCTCACCTGAAGAAGATGAAATGAAGCATGGGAGTCTGTTTCCAAAGATGAGAAAGCTTGTTAAAATGACGATCATGGAGTTTATGCTTAGGTCTCTTCATCTTCGTCTTTTTCGTTCGTCTGTGTCACCAAAAATGTCAGGTTCTGAGTATAGTCTTAAATGATCTGGTAAAACGAATCCGAGTGTTTTATTTTTAGTTAAAGGCTCTTTCGTTATGTTCTCTAATGGTCTTTTATGCATATGTAGTGATAAACAAGGTTGGTTTCTGGTTTTGTGTATTAATGATGTTTGTTGCATGTTGTGCTTACTCTTCTTGTTTCTTCGATTGTCCATTATACCCGTAGATTAGGATTAATGTTATAATATATATATATAATCTTTTCCTCATATAATTTTGCTAATCAAAGTCTTCAGAATAAAAAATGACCTAACCGTACATTATGAACTCAGAATTTTTATATCTTTATAAGTCACTTGTAACCATCGTAATCCATTCTTAACAAGATTGCAGATAAACCTACGTGATTTTTTAGAATCAAATTTATTATCGTACATTTTTATCAATTCAACCTATTAATTTACGAATAACTATTAGGATCCCTTTTTGATACTAACACTAAAAGTATTATAAATTCTTTTAACTAAAAGAAGAAAAAAAAACTCTTCTCAAGTTTTTTTTAGCGCTGTCATTAAATTTAGAATTTTTCTCTATACGAGCGAGGTTGACTTTTAGAAAAAATAATATATTAATTGAATGATATTAATGTTGACAATAAATCACATTTGATGAATATACTTATCAATTTTTAATTTAAAATTACATTTCATTCAATATTTAGTAAGAATGGAGCTTTTGAACTATTGGGTAAGGAAGAAGGGCAAGGTGAAAATGAAAAATTTATCAACTTTACTATTATTTTGGCTCGTTCTTTTACTTGTTACTTTTTTCCCGGTAAGCTCTTTAAGTCCTTCCTTGAACAGAGATGTTTTGGGACTAATAGTTTCCGGAGCAGATATGTTCAAGGCCCAAGCCAAAAGCTTTCGTCTTCGAACGAAAGACATTGACACACCTAAAAGAGACGGACGCGTGACCTTAAGTTAGGGAGATTAATTTTTAAAATTTAAGAGAGGAATTTATAAAATTTTAGGGATGAAAATAGATTATCAATTAAAAATATAAAAAATCTAAAATGTATACTAATTTGAAATATTCATAGGACAACTGTCCCTACCTATCTCCTTTCGGTCCATCTCTGGCTTCATATAATTGGATTGGATTCAAATGTAATCCAAGATCGAACCAAGCTAAAAAATAATTCATTTCATCGCAGAGTGATCAAAACATGAACAATTTCAAAGATAAATAATTAAATTAAATTTTTTTAAACTTCAATGACCAAAATGTAAGTGCTAAACTAGTTGAGTGATGAATTGTGTAGTTTAACAATTAATTAAATAGCTTTGATTCTAAAGCCGGCAACGATGTGGTCTCAGAAATAATCCCAGGACAACAGAAAATCTTAATTAGAGAAGTCCAAAGTGGATCGATTTTATCCCAAAAGATAAACGCAAATGGTACAAAGCCGGCACAGAATTCATCGTATTTTCCAAATAATTACACTATTTGATTCTCTCTTTTAATCAAACTTTTGGTTTCATTTTTTGAATGAGAGAGTAATGGATCCTCGTACGAGATTATCAGTAAACATCCTCGTATCGTTGGTAATGGCCGCAACTGTAATACCGGTGACAAGAACTCGAGTATTGCACAAAAATGGCTGCCCTTCTAAGTGTGGGAATCTAAATATACCATTCCCATTTGGCACGAAGGAAGGCTGTTTTCTAAACGAGAACTTCCATATCAACTGCAGTGAATCAGCCACCTCCTCCATAGCCTACTTAGCAAACACTGATTTTATCGTCACCGATATCACCATGGAAGGTCAGTTGCAGATCTTAACCACAGTCGCTCGAGATTGTTACGATGCTTCCGGGGACCAAGCGATCCCACAGACAACGTTTTTGTCTCCCTTTTCGATTTACAATGTCTCAAGCACCCGAAATAAGTTCACTGCCATCGGATGCGACACTTACGCATATCTCTATGGATTCATCGGAAACAAAAGTTACACTGCCGGATGTATGTCCATATGTAATCGGTTCGAGGACTTGGTCAATGGATCTTGTTCGGGATTCGGATGTTGCCAGATTCAGATTCCTGATGGACTGAAAGCTGTTTATGTGGAAGCTTATAGCTTTAAAAAACATGTTAATGTGTCGGATTTTAACCGTTGCAGCTATGCTTTTATCGTTGAAGAAAGTGGATTTCGGTTCTCTTCGGATTATGTTCGATCCATACCTCTCGATCAGAAATTTCCGGTGTCCCTCGATTGGCTTGTAAGCAACGAGACATGTGACGAAGCTGCTAAGAATCCATCTTACGCATGTCATCAGAGCGAGTGTTACGAACCTGTCATTGGTTCGGGATATCTTTGCAAATGTCCAGACGGTTTCGATGGGAATCCATACCTCCCTGAAGGATGTTTAGGTATGTCTCTTAGTATCTGCTGTCACCTGCAACTCGATGACGCCTTTTACCAGTTTCGGGATAGTTGCTAATTGACCTGTTTTTGCAGATGTCGATGAGTGCAAGATTTGGAGCCCCTGTGACGAAAATGCAATATGCTACAATTTACCAGGAAGTTTCAACTGTCTTTGTAAAGGTGGATATGAAGGAGATGGAAAAAGATATGGAACAGGTTGCAGTCCTATTGATGAACAAGGCTTTCCCTTCCTTGTCATCGGTCTAGGTGTAAGCATAGGCCTTTTAGTGGTCATATTAAGCATTTCCTGGACATATTGGGGACTTTGGAAAAGAAAACTCATCAGACAAAGAGAACAGTTCTTCCTACAAAATGGTGGAATTATCTTACGACAAGAATTTTCAAAGCTTAAAGGTCCTGTTTCAGCCAAGATTTTCACGTCAGAAGAGCTCAAGAAGGCAACAAACAACTTCCATGAAACTCGAATTCTAGGCAAAGGAGGCCAAGGAACGGTTTATAAAGGAATACTGCAAGACCACAGAGTTGTCGCCATTAAAAAATCCATGATTGCAGATCGCAGTCAAGTCGAACAGTTTGTTAATGAAGTCATTGTTCTTTCTCAGGTTAACCATAGAAATGTGGTTAAGCTCTTGGGATGTTGTTTAGAGACCGAAGTCCCTTTGTTGGTTTACGAATTTATATCCAATGGTACCCTTTACCAACGCTTGCATTGTCCGGGCAATGCATCTTTGTCCTGGGAATGTCGGTTGAGAATCGCAGCTGAAACTGCCGGAGCACTCTCGTATTTGCACTCGGCTGCTTATCCTCCTATTATACATAGAGATGTCAAGTCTACTAATATTCTTCTAGACGAGCATTACGTTGCAAAAGTGTCAGATTTTGGAGCTTCGAGGTTAGTTCCTTTGGATCAAACACAGTTAACCACATTGGTGCAAGGGACGCTTGGTTACTTAGACCCGGAGTACTTTCAATCGAGTCAGTTGACTGAAAAGAGTGATGTGTATAGCTTTGGAGTTGTACTTGCAGAGTTATTGACTGGGAGAAAGGCACTTAGTTTTCTAATGCCGGAAGAGGAGCGGAATCTAGCAATGCAGTTTGTTTCTGCACTGAAGAAGGATCGATTATTTGGGATTATAGATCATCATGTGCTAGCTGAGGGGAACACTACACAGATAAAGGAAGTTTCCATGTTGGCAAACAGGTGCTTAAGAGTTAGAGGAGAAGATAGGCCTTCAATGAAGGAAGTTGCAATGGAATTGGACAGTCTAAGAACAATGCTAAAGCATCCTTGGATGAAAAATTATTCGAAGGAGACCGAGTCTTTGCTCGGCGAACTTTCGGGAACTAATTCTCAGAGTAACAAAAGCAGTCCGTCCGACTATGACAGTAGGCAGCAAATCGTATTGCATGGTCGGTAACAATGTTGCAGATGTTTATGTCTATTCTTATGCACTAACATGGTTTCCATTAACGATTTCTTATTCTGTGAAAGGATTTATAAACTTATAAACATATCCACTTGTCATGGCTAAATCTCAACAATTAAAAAAAACCTCAAATCACAACAATAAAATATAATTCTATAATTACGCATAGAAATCGTTAACCTAGAGCAATGACTCATCGTTTCACACTCGTCTATATCTGGAAATTGCAGAGTATATGGGTGTAAAATAACACAATAATTTTAGCAATAGAAATTACAAATACACTGAGGCATGCATATAGTTACCTTGACATCCATTGGAGAGGAAAGGGTTCCCCTAGTTGCAACGCAAGCGCAACGAGAGAAGGTATGGTTATCGTTCTCTGCAACAAATGCACAGCTGCAAGGTATGGTCATTTTTCAATGTCTAGAGTTTCAAGACCTTCATTTCATCATTCTTTCAAGCCAATTTGACAATGTGTATATTTTTGGCTTATATACGAGCTCTTTTACAATGACAGTAAAATAGTAAAGTACCAAGTTCTATAAACCGATACAAACTATCTGACTACATAATCAACGAGCACCTTGTAGTTCAAATGTGATTTTGTTATTAATGCTATCGTACCCCATCGAGCTGCTCGTTGCACCATCATCATAAGTGTTGTTCAAGGCACCGAGCAAGTATTCGGCTTCTTCTCCCATTAACTTACTTTCACTCCAAGGATGTTTAGGCATTTCTTGCAGTCCTGCTAATTCATGGGCAACTTCCTTCATTGTTGGCCTTTCCTCTCCCTGCACTCTCACACATCTCGTTGCTAAAGCTGCAACTTCCTTAAGCTGCTCGATGTTCTCATCGTTAAGCACCCAAGGATCGAGAATGTCGAGCAGGCGGTTTTCTTTCATCAAAGAAACAAAGTACATTGCCAAAACTCGGTTTTGTTCTGATCTTTTGAAACAGACCGCTTTTTGTCCTGTTAGTAATTCCACAAGCACAACCCCAAAGCTGTATACATCGCTCTTTTCAGTCTAAGCATGTATTCAGGGTCCAGGTAGCCGAAAGTTCCTTGTACAATTGTAGTTATCTGTGCCTGATCCGATGGATTCAATCTTGAAGCCCCAAAATCAGAAACTTTTGCGGTGTAATTGTCATCTAACAATATGTTTGCCAACTTGATGTCTCGATGAATGATCGGAATTGAAGAGGCGGAGTGTAAATAAGAAAGGGCTTCCGCCGTTTCGTTGGCGATTCTAAAACGAGTCTCCCATGGAAGATAAGAGGCATCATCATCAGCATGCAAAAAATGGACCCTGTGTCTCCAAACAACATCCTAGGAGTTTGACAACATTCCTGTGGTTGATCTGGTAGAGAACCGTGATTTCATTAATGAATTGTTCAACCTGGCTCGAATCTCCGATTATGACTTTTTAATGGCAAGAACTCGATTATCGGCTAATATACCCTTGTACACTGTCCCATGCCCTCCTCGTCCTAAAATTCTGCTTTCATGGTAATTGTTTGTGGCCTTCTGGAGTTCCCCTGCTGCAAATATTTTAACATCTTCTCGGTACCCTTGTCGCTTCGAAAGCTGTTCCCGCAACAAAATGCCACCATTTTGCTGAAAGTATTCTTCTCTTAGTTTGGAAATCTGTTTTCGCCTGAGCATCCAGTGCAGCAATATTATCCCCAAGAGGAGACCAGTGATAGGAAATAAACCGAGTACAAATAATTTTCCTATAACCAGATTAGTGAGAATGCGAAATAAAAGCGGAAAAATAATACCCGAAATTGATAACGGAGTTCAGCCAATTGTGCTTACGTCTTCGAACTGCTGCAGATCTTTTACTAAGAGAGAAAATTTACAGGTGTTTACAAAACACTCACTACTCACAAGAAAGCTCTCTAGTATTGGGAGAAAGAAAATGATTTTTGGGATGGTTTTGAAGCTAAATGAGCTAGGGTATTTATAGTTGAAACTTAAGGACTTAATCTTGTAAATACCCTAAAACTTAGGGATTAATTGTGATTATCCCATTATTATTTTTCAACAAACATCTACCAAACTTTGAAAAACTATTTTTCAAAGAAACACTTACCAAACTTTGAAAACCATTTTCAAAGAAACATTTACCAAACTTTGAAAACAACTTTTTCAAAGTTGGTTACCAAACTTGAAAACCATTTTAATACTTTCAACAATCTCCTACTTGAAGACTGATTTTAATCTGTCTTCACACCTCGATCAATGCAACAGCTTTTCTAGTCTTGTTACTCTAGCATGCCAACTGAAGTTAAACACAACTTCAGTTTGTCTATAGTCACCGTCTTTGTCAACATGTTTGCCGGATTTTGAGTTCCACTGATCTTTTCAAGTTTCAAAATCCCATCTTCCAGAAGAGACCGGATAAAATGATATCGCAATTGTATGTGCTTTGTCCTGGAATGAAAAGATGGATTCTTTGCTAGATGTATAGCACTTTGAATGTCGCAATACAAGACATTGTTTTCTTGTTTCTTGCCTAACTCTTCCAAGAAACTTTGGAGCCAAACCATCTCCTTACTGGCTTCCGTAACAGCGACATATTCTGCTTCAGTTGTGGAGAGAGCAACTATCTTCTGTAGTTGAGAAACCCAACTCACTGCGGTTCCTCCTAGAATATAGACATACCCTGTAGTGCTCCTTCTGATGTCAACATTTCCGGCTAAGTCAGCATCTACATAGCCTGTCAGTATCGTATCTCCACCTTTGAAACAAAGTGTTTTGTTTGTGGTACCCCGCAAATATCTGAGGATCTATTTGACTGTTTCCCAGTGTACCTTGCCCGGATTATTCATGTGCCTGCTAACAGCTCCCACTGCTTGAGCAATATCTGGTCTGGTACAAACCATGACATACATCAGACTTCCAATTGCTGAGGCATACGGCACCTTCACCATGTGTGCACGTTCTTCCTCCGTCTTTGGTGACTGTTCTTTGGAGAGTCTGAAATGAACACCTAAAGGTGTACTTACTGGTTTAGCATCTTGCATGTTGAACCTGGAGAGTACTTTGTTGATGTACTCAGCCTGTGATAATATCAAAGTCCCCGACTTTGTGTCTCTCTTGATCCTCATCCCAAGAATCTTCTTTGCAGTGCCCAGATCCTTCATAGCAAACTGCTTTGACAATTTTTGCTTCAAGTTTATAATCTCTTGCATGTCTGAGCCTGCAACGAGCATGTCATCAACGTACAACAATAAAATAATGAAGCTATTATCGAACCTCTTGATGTAGCAACAATGATCTGCTTGGCATCTGGTAAAACCACTGCTACTCATGAAACTATCGAACTTCTTGTACCACTGTCTAGGAGCTTGTTTTAAACCATACAAGCTCTTCTTCAACATGCATACCAGGTTTTTCTTGCCTACCTCTATGAAGCCTTCTGGCTGCCTCATATAGATTTCTTCCTCCAAATCACCATGAAGGAAAGCTGTCTTTACATCTAACTGCTCAAGATGTAAATTCTCTGCAGCTACAATTTTCAACACCAGTCTGATTGTAGATAGCTTCATGACTGGAGAGAAAATTTCATTGTAATCAATACCTTCTTTTTGTTGAAAACCTTTGACAACCAATCTTACTTTATAGCGTTTGCTCCCATCGTGCTCTTCTTTGATCCTGTAAATCCACTTGTTATGGAGCGCTTTCTTTCCTAGTGGTAATTCAGCTAATTCCCACGTCTGATTTGACAAAAGCGAGTCCATCTCATCTTTCATGGAAGACTCCCACTTGACTGAATCCTCCACTTGCATTGCTTCATCATAGCACTCTGGTTCACCGTTGTCAGTCAGCAACAAGTAGTGCAAATAAGGAGAATACCGTTGGGTTGGTTTAGTAATTCTGGAGGAGTGTCTTAGTTCCGGTGTGCCTGGTTCTTCTTGAACTGCTTCAGGACTGATCTGAATATCATTTCCAGAAATCTCCTCAAACTCAGCAAATTCCTTTGTTTCAGCTTTGGTATTGGAGCTGTTTGATTCTACAGTTGACATGTCTTTGTACATCACATTCTCATTGAAAATGACATCTCTGCTTCTAATGATCTTTCGATTTTCATAGTCCCAAAACCAGTAACCGAACTCATCACCGCCGTAACCAACAAAGGCACATTTGTTGGACTTAGCATCAAGTTTACTTCTTTCAGCAGAGTCTATGTGTACATAAGAAATACAACCAAACACTCTTAAGTGTGAAAGGTTTATTTCTTTCTTGCTCCAAACTTCCTCTGGTATTTTGCCATCCAAAGGAACTGAGGGCCCACGGTTGATCAGGTAAGCTGCAGTGTTAATAGCTTCAGCCCATAGAAATTTGGGCAATCCGGCATGTATCCTCATGCTTCTGGCACGTTCATTCAGAGTTCTGTTCATGCGCTCTGCTACGCCATTCTGCTGCGGTGTCATGGGAACTGTTGTCTCCATCTTGATCCCATTGTTTGCGCAAAAATCTCTGAATCTCCTATTTCTGTACTCTCCTCCATTGTCAGACCTCAACCGCTTGACTTTCATACCATTCTCATTTTCCACCATTGCCTTCCATTTTCTGAAGGTATCAAAGACTTCTGATTTTTTCTTCAGAAAATAAACCCACACCTTCCTTGTAGAATCATCGATGAAGGTGACATAATATAATGAGTCTGTAAGAGATGGAACTGGAGATGGTCCCCATACATCAGTATGAACTAACTCTAACTTTTCAGCCTTGGGTGTCTTACCAATCTTTGAAAAGCTGACTTTCTTTTGTTTGCCAAAGATGCAATCCTCGCATAGTCCGACATCTACATTCTTTAGATCCGGGAGCTTCCCCTTTGACAAAAGTGTCTTCATCCCTTTCTCGCTCATATGGCCAAGCCTTTGGTGCCATAGGTTTGATTTTCCATCAGCATCTGCTACTGCAATGATATTCTCTAAATTTGAGGTTACATAGAGAGTACCAGTCTTCTTACCACGAGCAA